AGTTGATCACGGATTGATATCAGTTAGAGAACCATTGAAAACCAGGGAGTACTGGACAGCTGCTGTTTCATCCTAGTTTTGGGAATCATCACCAGTACGCACCCACTGGGATTCGAACCTAGGATCTTCTGGTTACAAGGCAGGCTGGCTCGTATACCATTCACCCACTGGGACCCGATTCAATGGCTCATGAATTCTGACTTCTACCAATTCGTGATTCGGAATCTTGAAGAAATCCAACATTTGAGAATTATTTAAATAAAAGCATGATAAAAGCATGTTCATCCGTGTGAACTTGGTTGGTTTTGATTACGTTTGGAATAGAACTCGCCTGAAACTAGGATGTTATCGGATTATCGTGAAGCAGTTATTTTGTAAAAATAAAAAAACCTCCCTTTCACATTCATTGTCAATCATTTTTATACAGAGTACAAAGTGTATAGCGCAAGACAGGTCTTTTCGCTAAAATAGCGTTAATGACTAAAGTAGATTTCACTGTGTTGCTGATTGATTGAAATAAAAGTAGATTATCTTTTCAAAAAAGACAAACAACCCAGCCATCTCTCTCTCTCTGTCTCTACCTTTTTTGCTTTGCTGTCTGTACATTTCTCTAATTTCGTTCGCATAGCAAATATTAATACAAGTAATACACAAATAGACAAATAATACATAACGCTTGTAAGTAGGTAGATGTATGATATAGTATCTTTCGTCGCTATATATATATACATATATATACAATTAACTCGAAGCATTTTTTGTCCCCGTGTTGTAATTTTAGGATGTCGAGTTCCATTTTTAATATATTTTTTTCTCCAGGAATCTAGCAACATGAGGTAAAATTATGCAATGATTGCAAGTAAAAGTATATATGTGTAACGACTAGTGTTTCCGAAATCCAGTCGATTCATCGTTTTATTGATATTATACCTGGTGTCTATCGTATTTCATGGACCAAAAGTTCCCAATATAGGAATACGGAAAACGTATCTTAATTTGTCCTTTATTCATTCAAATGCCTGGAAACTAGGGAAATTTATACTATTAGGTCCGAGTTCTATGCGTTCATAAAGAAATAAACTATCTACTTGTTGCAGTCATATGTTTTTACCTAGGTGAGTAATTCCTCAGTAGTTTATACTTTGAATTCAATCGTAAACAAATGTACACTTCTCTCTCTAGGTTAACCGTACTGTAGCACTACCTAGACTAAAGCACCTAGTAATGTATCAACTATTTAAGCTTATTAAGGACATGGATCCTAAAAAGATTACGGCGTATTAAACAAACTCCAAAAGGGATGGAACTTTTCAAGTGTTGGTTTGTAGGGATTTGATTGATTGGTTACAGGACTTCATCATGAGCTGACATTGGTTAGAGAACTATTGGAAAACCAGCTGGGAGTACTGGACAGCTGTTCATGTCGTTCTAGTTTGGGGCTCTTCATCAGTGCGCACCCACCACAGGGAGTTTGAACCCAGGACCTTCTGGTTACAAGGAGAGCTAGCTCGTAGACCATTAAGCCACTGGGACCCGATCCAATGCCCATTCCATGAATTCTAACTTCTGACAATTCAAAACATAGCCGCTAGCTATGTTTTAGCTAGCCTCAAAACCGCTAGCCAATGACTTCGGCGAGTATTTGTCCTCACACCCGACCTTCTGCACCCTACTGGTCACGACTTCTCACTAGAACCCCAGGTAGCTACCTACCTGAATAGCTCAAGTCGCTAGTAAGCATCTCATTGATGGATGGAACTTTAATTACTTCCAATAATAGATAGTTGGAAAGTTGAACAGAGCATCTCGGAGAGCAGTTCAAACTGCTCACAACTGTTGGCTACCAACCAATCCTACTGTACATAAGATGTAAACACTGGCCCTGTAACTGTGACTTTGACTGGAACTAGACCAGGCAGTAGTTATTATTATTTATTGAAGTATAGTTAGGTTGTAAAAAAGCTGAGGATAACAATCCATGTAGTCCATAATCGTTGACCTCAAACACAGTCGATCAATGATTGAAGACGCTTAGTGACATGATTTGAAATGTTCTACTATAGTCACCCCCAATCGTGTGTTAGGTTCTGAGCATCTCCATAAATCCCTACCTGTTTTCGTTTGTTTGGTCACTGTATCATATATATGTGCTGATTCGAAATGGAGTAAACTTGAGCTAATGTTCCGCTTTGCGAGATACTACGATTTAGCCTGTCTCTCAAACAGTATTGCTGATAGTGATTATTACTTATGCGTAAATATGTAGCAAGTTAAACTCTGTACTGAAAATCGTGCAGATCCTTGAATCCTTAAACGATGCATTAACTATTACTCCCCTTTTTGTGTATATTCTGACTCTCAGGTGCACAAATGTACAGAAAAGGTATCCTATCGATCGGATGTATCAACACGCTTCCGTCTGCACCATGTGTATCTCATTTATTAAAAGTTATGGAGTGTGGTCCACGGACTAGAACAAGTTACTTGAATGTAAAGTTGTTTGTCATTTTAAAAAAAATGGAGCTATATAACACTTTTTTTCCAATACTCCATGGCAGCAGCATCGGTTGATATTGATGGCGCCTGGATTGCATTACTGCAAATATATTATGCTTTATTATGTATATATCAGTTGTATATTCAGTCAATGAAGTATGCTATCCTATATCTATAGTCGAAAACTAAGTAGCAGGTAACAAACGAAACAATGCGTTTGTAAAATCAACTATCTTTTACAATACAGCATACACATGCTCCTTATTTCATCTTACGTCAGGTTTCAAGTAACTAGGCTAGTTGAACAGTATGAGTGTACTGTGGAGTCTTTATTAGTGCTCTTGTGCATATTTAGAGCAGTGTACTGTACACTAACTAGCGTAGGGGTGGAACAATATTTACCAGACACCAATTACAGTGACGTATAATATTAGGTGGTTGGAGGCAATCGGCTACAAGAGGCCTTCGACCTAGGTTTCGTGCTAGTCAGCACTCACCAGTCAGTCAGAAAGGCGTATCTGCAACCTTGAAAGAACAACTCATGTCCCTTCTGAGATTCGAACCCGCGTCACCCAGTGGTGCAGTCAGAGAAGTTGCCACTGAGCTGTTCGGCTTGCGATTGAGCTCCTGTAGGACTATAGTGGATACTTTGATTGGACACTAGTAACTAGTGTGACGTGTCTAGTCCTTTCTTTGGTGCAGACTGAATTCTATCAGTCAGGTTGGCAAGTATCCACTACAGTCCTACAGAAGGTCAATCACGAGCCCGAATAGCTCAGTGGTAACGTCTCTGACTGCACCACTGGGTGACACACGGGTTCGAATCTCAGAAGGGACAAGAGTTGCCCCTTCAAGGTCGCAGATATGCCTTTCTGACTGACTGGTGAGTGCCAACTAGCAAGAAACCTAGGTGCAAGGCTTCCTATGGCCGATCGCCTCCAACTATCTAATATCATCAAATCAATGTGCACCGTGATGGAGACCTACCTAGAATGGTGGCCACATTACAAACCTGACTGATAGAATTCAGCATGCACCAAAGAAAGGACTAGACACGGCACACTAGTTACTAGTGTCCAATCAAAGTACAATGACGTATAATAATTTTTTCTATTTCCACATCTTTCATTTTGGTTTTACGACAAGATTTTTGTCAATGAGATAATTACAGTTAACATTTGAATCAGATCAGAAATTTTTTCAGTCACTGAACTTACGATTGACTTAATTTATCTTAACACATAGATACGTCATTTTTGTTAATCCTAATTTTTTATCAGTTTAAGAAAAAAAATTATACTATTTTAATCCCGGGCTCCCACTGTTACATTTCTACACTCCTTATGACATCAATCTGAACTTTTTTCCGATTTCAGTTGTAGTCAATCTCGTCGGTTTCACTGAGTGTCACTCAATTTACTTATTTAACTTTATTCTAGTTTTTACCTGATTAACGGTTTCTGTATTACGTAATTGTGTTATCTAACCCGTACACATCTCTGATGATGCAGCTTTGGAAACATTTCTTTCGTCACTAGGACAATTGACTGTATACATATGTAGACATGCAACTGTTTAAGCTTGAGAATGTATATCGCTGAACGCCCTATTTTATGACTCAATGAGTAATTTTTAACATCCTTAATTACTGATTAATCCATCGTGAGATTCGACTCTCTACTTTCAGTTTTCTTTCTTCAGAAAGTGATTTACGAAATCTCCCTTTGATTTGAAGCAAAAATTCAGTATATCTCAACAAACCTAAGTCATTAAATACAAGTTGGCTTTTTTTAAAGCCTGATTCTGAAAGCATGAACCACATCTGTCGACAAACTGTCTTGTCCGCTTTTGTTTTAGCGCATTTAGATAGGAGAATTGAACAGTTGAAGCTCAATATCGGGGTTAAAGTATATCAGGCATAAAGTGGTTATTCTAGGTTGTGGGGAACAAGGTAACAAATAATGTAGACCTATCAACAGAGACAGAGAGAGAGACTCGAAAGTTTTGGAAAAGTGGTGAAGAAAACCATACAAGTAGCATTGGTATACCAAAGAATGATACTTTTTCCAGTCTATAGTTTGTTAGTTATTCTTTTAGTGAATGAATCAATTAGTGTTATAAACAACATTAATGTTGTTTAACTAACATCGAATCAATAATATTGATAGATTACAGCTCAATACTATCAACATAAAATAAGCGGAATGTCAGAAAAATTAGGAAGGATAATAATACAAATTCATGAGTATATAGTTTCTACTAAAGGCCAGGGCAATAGTGCTTTTGATTCAATCAATGGTTTTGACAAGGCTAGACTACAACTAATATTTTTATAATATTTCGTTCTGACGAAATCAACTACTCCATCACCTCTGGATATGTTATACAACTAATGAAATGTAATTTATATAATAGAAAAATTTGTTCTAATTTATCAGTAATGCTAGTGTAATGTGTTCTTTCATCCTATTCGTGTTTCTTTTTCTCATATCTTCTTCATTCAGATAATCTAATCGATTGTTTAGACCCGGACTGTTGTACATCAACTCATTGTGATCGACTGATTAAACTTGATTCAAATGCTGGTGGATTAGCGGCTGAAAATGCACAACAAAGTTGTGCACACAGTGAACCATTTGATTATTATTTGTTAATTACACCAGTTGCCCCATTGGGTAGTGCATTCTATGGTCAATTGGAATTTTTGTTAAGACGTGAAAGTATTGTTGTAGTGAATTTTGATCCAAGGTTAGCAGAAGTGTAACTGTGTTGTTTTTTTGTTTGTTTTTGGTTTTAACTGTTCCACTTTTTTTTAGTACTACTCTACAATCTCATTTCGCCTTTGTTTATTTAACCGATTCCTGTAGGCATATGTGTGTTTTACTTGTTATTTCTGAATTGTTGATTTAGTTGGTTGGTTTTTGTTATTTGATGTTTGATGTTTTTGTTGTTGTTGTTTTTTTCCCCCTTCGCCCTTTTTCATTATTTGAGTTAGCTAGAATTTATCTGAACTGCATTTTTTATTTGCATAGTTTCGTTCACTATATTCCTTTTCTCTCTCCTTCTTTGATTGTTTTACTCTTCAACTTTCCCTATCGCAAAGATTTATAGCGATGATGAAGTTGGGTGAAAGACTGAGAGAATTTGTTCTCAAAACCCTTCAGAATACTATTTTTATATGGTGGATTCTTGATTTAATTCAGCTTTGCTTACATATATAAGAATTAGTATCTTGATTCTTAGACTAAACGTATGCCAAGCCATCGCCTCCCTCGACGAGCTATGTTAGCGGATATAGGGTCAGGCTGGAAAAAAGCTAGCGGCGGTCAAACAAAAACTTGGCATCAGTCAATGAAATCCACAACAGTTGGTCTAAGCCACGTAGGAAGGTGTAGACTTCTAGGCTGGGGTCCTCGGGACGGTAAAAATCTATGGTTGGAAACAATTGGTGACATGGCTCAAAATCGTTCTCAGTGGCGCAGATGCATCCACTCCCTGTGACTTATGATCTTCAATGAAACTGTTTTGTATTTCTTTATTACTCCTTTGTCTCACACCTCTGCTCACTGTTTCTATTATGCTTTTCTTGTACTTTCTTCTCTTGCTTCGCGTGCTACACGGAATGTGGCGACTTGAACTTCCTCACATTTGTGCAAAGTTCTATGTCGAAAACAGACAGACAGTCAGGTTAACTGAACTCAATGCTATGTCTTGATTCTTACTTTACTGGAATGCTATCTAGTCAGTCACCTGGTCAAGAAGTTCGTGGGTTGGTGAATGACACTGTTTATTTATATAATTACTAGATTTGATTGGATTTCAGTTCACAAAGGTGTAGACTTTCCAAGCACATTTGATTTTGCTTATTGGTATGTAACCATCTAAGCCTTTTGGACAATACATTCGTTCAATCAGCACCATTTGCAATATTATGGTCTACTAACCACATCTGTAAACTCACTAGCGTCCCATATAGTCACTGCTGCATTATATATATATATATATGCATCCATGTTAGTCCATACTGTTTCAACTCCTCTTCACACAGTCTCCTCCGTGTCACTCTCCCCTTCCCTTTCGGTTCCACTCAAGCAATGTCCTGAAGAGCGCGCGATGTCACCCAGTGGCCTGGCCTCCTCAGCCACGAGTGTCCAATCTATCTCCACTTTCTCCTGCATATTTGTTGGTTGGTGATTGGTTCTTGTTTTGTTTGTTTGTTCCCATAGTTTCTTGTTGGTGATTAATTCTTTCCCTCCGGGCCATCTGATCTTCAGTATAGAGCGAAGACAGTTGTTGATAAAGGACTGGTTTGCAACAGGCTGTTGGAAATATTCTTTGTGACTCGCCAAGTTTTGATCCGTACAGAAGAAGTGACTTGACGTTCGCATTGAAAATCCGACCGAATTTTGTTGTTGATGCTGGCTGAGTGACGAAGATTTCCCGATTGGTTTCAGGTTGATGAGTGGATGTGTTTCTCGCCTTCCCGATTCTCGCTCGATTTGGCATCCTCATCCGTTCCGACTGCCTGTAGTTGAGACAATGCTCCCTTCTTCGACCAGTTTGTCGGTTATATATATTAATTGATATTAAAAAGTCACTTGAAACTGTTCAAACCGTCACTTCCACCGGTCAGAGTGGAGCATGTACGCCTTACTGCATTGAATATGAATCCTTGAATTAGAGTGCTTCTGAACTATCAAATACCGTAGGGATTTAATGTATCCACTAATTCAATTATTTCATGATGAACTGACATCTGTTAGAGAACCACTTTAAAACCTGGGAGTACTAGGCAGTTGTTTCCTTCTAGTTTGCGACTCTTCATCAGTATCCACCCATTGGAATTCGAACCCAGTGCCTTCGAGTCAGTTAATGATGAAATCCTGAAATTAATCGAAACCTGCAAACCAACAATTGAAGTTTGATTATTCATGTTCAATAATTTTTCGACTGAAGTTTAAATCGATGCAGACACTTTTGTCCACTGATTGATGAGTTTATGGTGAGTGTATAGTCACGTTTTGTTTACTTCATTTAATAAACATTCACATACTTGCTAATAACCCAGACTAAAGTCACACTTCTTAGTGTTCAAAAACACAATTGATGTAAGTAAAACAGGTGTTGTTGTTAAGTGCACAGATGAGATTTTACTTTGATCAATGTAGTTTATAGGAAAAGTTATCTCTTCCGATAACAATCAGTTAGCCCTGTTACTTTCAATCAATTACTTTACAGATACTTTACAATCAACCAAATCCCTACAAACCAATACTTAAATATCAATGAAATGCTCACTGGCGACTGGCCGTATTCAGATAGGTAGTTACCTGGGGTTCTAGTGGGAAGTCATGACCAGTAGGGTGCAGCAGGTCGAGTGTGAAGACAAATACTCACCGAAGACATTGGCTAGGGGTCGCGCTATGTCGTGAATCGGCAGAGGTTAGAATTCATGGACTGGCTTAATGGTCTACGAGCTAGTTCGCCTTGTAACCAGAAGGTCCTGGATTCGAACTCTGGCGGTGGGTACGTACTGATGAAGAGTCCCAAACTAGGATGACATGAGCAGCTGTCCAGTACTCCCAGCTGGTTTTCCAATAGTTCTCTAACCAATGTCAGCTCATGATGAAGTCCTGTAACCAATCAACCGAATCCCTGCAAACCAATACTGTTACTTTTGTTTATGTATATATATGTAGAATGGTATATCCAGTCCCATATTAAATTTGCATATCTATATGCCCGAAATGTGTTGATTTGTGCTATTGGAGCAGCAGAAGGCAAGACACTGAAGTGATCGAACCTCTACTTATGTCTATACAGTTTATATTCTTTAACCAATCAGCGAGCGTGTGATTTTGGTTTACACTAAATTACATGAATCAGAATCTCCAGGTTTACATAGTATTCTGTTGCTAAGCTGTGTATTGAACTGTGGGAATATGTGAGAACAATATTCCGTTGGAACCAATTGTCTGTCTCACACCACCACACTATGATTACCTGGAATTCTACTGGACACTTAAGTAATGTCCTGCATATTCTTAGCAGGGTGATTCGTATTTAAACAAAATCACTCGAGTATTTAAAAAAATCTATTCATACATCTTCCTAACTCGATATCTTGTTGTCTTTTTTGATACATTTATTCAATCATTAAGATATAAAGTATTTTATATTCAAAAATGCCTCAAATAGGACACCTTCAGTTCACTTTTATGTGAAAACACAGTAGTTCCATTTTTCATGGTTGTTTGAAAGGAGTCATGCAGATCATAGGCCTGAAAGTGTATTTTGACCAGGAGAAATTTCTGTTGAATTTAAGGCTAGTAAACGAACAAAACAACAACGGGAATACATTTTCCTGCTCAGTAGTAGAACAGTTCTCTAGCTTTGGGACACCCAACTCCTTGTGAGAAGTCCTTCGAAGTAAAAGGCCCTATCAAGCCATTCAAATGGCTTAAAGCCAAAGTGTATGTGCGTACCGTCGCATCACTAACGATCTAAATGTCCAAACTAATGTTGTTCCCACACTAACTACACGTCCAGTCTTTGTTTTTGCCGTGAGACCAGCAATAAAATGTCAGTCCTTTTCAGGGATCCCTTGCTATGTTTTTTTCAGTCCTGAGTTTAATTCATTTCTAAATAAATCCTTGTTTGAAATGTACAACTTTCTTTGTTTATTGAGCGTGTTCTTGCACTTACCGTTTCTGTGTTTTGTCAAGCAACATAAAAAGATACATACATTCAGCATATTTTAATAGATCTAGGGACACTGATAGTCTTTATTATTTCTATTGGTGTAATGCTTTCATTATTTACTTAGAATGAATATAAAATAATATTCCCGCATTTCCTTTAGGCGTATTTCCGTTGTCCGTGGTGTTGTACGTCAATGGGATGGAACTGTCTTCTGGGGTTGCCGGGTATCTGATCGTGCAAATATGCAAAATGGGTATACATTAACTGATAAGAATGGCAGGTAAGTAACACTTTCGTATGTATGCAATGTATTCTTAATAACGGATAATTAACAGTTACTTTCATCACAGTTATTAATAACTGTTGGCAAAATTTAATCACTTAGGTTTATAGTTAAATTAATCAGGTTGAATGACTTAGTGTCACAATGGATTATATTTATTGTGGAATGACCGAAATCTGTCAGTAATTCAAAGTACCATAAGAAATCCTTTAACCGCGGAATTTTCATGAATTTAAGCCTACTGGATCATTGAGTAATGAAGAGTAAATAGGGTTCTACTTAGAGTTCTTGTTGATTGTTTTCAACTTTAAAATATACGCAGAAGGACATCAGATGATCACCAAAATATAGCGATCATGACCTGTCATTGGGTGTATATCTCTGTGAAAAGCACAAAAGTAGCGAAGATGCACATTCGAGGAGATGTTACCTGGGTCGATGTTGAAAGTTCTATCTACTCCTAGAAAGCAACAGGACTAATTAAACACATAATTTCATGCAAGTGTAATAGATAAAGCGAATAATAATAATAATTACGCGAACTTATTGATTTCATTGCTACAATATATTAAGTGATTGTTACATTCTTCATTGACTTAAATAACAGTGCGTCGGTGGCACAGTGGCGACCATGCACATGGTCCGGGTTTCGACCCCCTGCCGACGCACACCTGATATCTATGGTCGGCCTGAAAAATTTGGGCTACCGATATCATATGCTGAAAATTTCATACTTGTACCAAAAATACAGTGTGGCATCAAGCTGTAATCAAAATAAAATAATAAAATATGAGGAATGAGCTATGCGAAGTTTTCAAGGTGGCTGTGTTCAAAGATTATTTGCATGGAGGATTTCATCATGAGCTGACATCAGTTAGAGAATCACTGGAAAACCTGCAGGGAGTACTGGACAGCTGTTTCGTCCTAGTTCAAAGATAAATGTTGATCACTTAACAACAGGCAGCTTATCCAAGAGTGAAGTTATATAACCCCTACGATGTCTTTCTGTGCAAATAAGACGATACTATGTTCGAATGTTTCTATGCAGAAGTATAAAGAGTTATACACTTCTTATATCTTCTACATCTTTGCTAAAACTCATCAATTCAAGACTCCCTTGAGATCACCACCACTACGAAAAAAAGTTAGCATGTTATGCACTCATGCATTTCTAGTCTTCCCAATAATTTAATTGACTGTGCTATTATTATCATTGAAGGATATTTAAGCCTACTTGAGGGTATTTATCGAATGGTAATAAGCAGCAACAACAAAAAACTGTCTAAAGAATCTTTTTTTTACATATCGAAATCATTTATTTAATACAATCATTCCCTTAATGAATTTGAACAAAGCGAGAACTACAGTTTTAGCAGAATAAAATGGTACCATCTTTTATTTCGTTGCCTTCTCGTCAGCTGCTTACATGGCAAAGACATTATTAAATATATCTACAACAACAATTTTAACATACTCGCACAGAGTTCATTTCAAACAAAAATCAATCGACCAATATACTCACACACTAAAAATATATACATATATAAATATGCAATATTAACCACTATTCCGAATAACAATAATCAAACACAATGGAAACTTTTAGCATTTCACATTCGGATGAAAGAGAGGTGAAATTATCCAGTTACCAGTCAGGGCAAAGAAAGGCTGATAACCGCTTCTTTCTGGACGCATAAATCAGGTTTCAGGCGCTTGATGGAAATGGCTTCAGCAAACTTAAGGAGAATTGAGCTATTTTGCTTATTGATAATTTTGAACGACTTTTCGACGTCCACCTCATGACCCGTGTCGAGAGATGCCTGGTGATGGCACTGTTTAAAGCATTTGTTCCCTTTAGATGTAAGCTTTTTGGTACATGTTCAGATAATCGTAGATATGCCCTTCTTTATGTCCTTCCAATGTAACTGCTCCCGCAGATACATGTAAATTTGTTTACACATTCGAAATCATTTATCATTTTTATTTGTCTATTCACTGATTAGATGCTATCTAAGGCGTGTAAAATAAATTCAATCACAGAAAGGCTATCCAATTTTTCACTGTAGACAAGAGAAATGAAAATTAAATAACTCAGGCTATATCTGCCTGCCATTCTCCTTTAAGAGAAACAAAAAATAAATAGCTCAGTAAACCTGATTTATGCGTCTAAAAGTGTGTGAATTTTCATTCCACAACACCTCTGTTGTAACCACTAGTTATTATATATATATATAATCCCAGCTGCCATGTGTAAAAGACATCTCCTGTTTTCAACGTTTCCCCTGTCTATTTTTTAACACTACTGACTGTAATGGTGATAGTAGCAGTCAGTATTCAAGTATGATTTATTGTCATGCATAAACTGCCTTTTCCTTGGTGCCTCTTTCCATACACCCCTCCTTTTATTCTCGTCTACTTCTTGACTTTTGCTCTCTTGCCTTCCTGTTTTACACATTGTAGCCTGGTGTTCATTTTTCTGTCCTGTTTTTTATACCATGTACTATGTGGGGACGATAACTTCCTCCGTGTTCTTCTTTTTCGCCTGCATTATATGATAATTGTCTTTCGTTTATTTACTTATTCTAGATTTGATTTACCAGTTGATGGGGGAACCATTGTCCAGTTAGAATTTCTACGCTACCCAACTGACCAGTTTTCAGCAGTACACAATCTATATGTACCTGTTAATCAGATAGTGTATATGGGTGATTTTTATATGTATGATGCTAAACAATTGGCAAGTAGTTCTCCTTTTTCAACTGGTGGCAGTGGATCTGTAGCCTTGTCCAATCTGTTGTTAGGTGTTGGGACTGGTGATACCGGGGGTACACACGCTTTATCATCAATACACAGTGATCTATGGATAATGAAGAATATCATGTTTCAAGTATCTCATAAGAATATAATTTTACAAAAGTCATGTATCAACGGAAATGTACACGATATAATTACACTCGGTGGGCCTTATGTACAGATAAATTCACTGATGGACATTTCAACTGTTTGTTTGGATAAACAAGGCATTATCTGCATAAGAAATGGTGCATTAATCTACAATATTCCCATAAAGGTCAGTTATATCAGGTGTTTTATGTTGTGTCTGTCGGTTTTTGTGTACGTTCTTATATGTAAGTAAGTATAAGGCTTGTAAAGATATGAACCACTGGAAAGATAGTTAGTACATTAGTGAATTTGTCTACTCCCCCAGATTGTTACACAGAAATTCATTGAAATTCCTTTAATAGTTGATTGATTTTTAGTGGCTAGTTCATATTTTCCTTGTTTCGAATGTACCCTCAATAAACTTAATCGTAACATCTATTGGCGAAGTTCAATAATAGCGTCCTAGAAGTGTGAACGCTCCGATGACCTTGAACGCATACTAGTCGTTGGTAAAAGGCATCTATCATTATCATAGCTGAAATATCAACGCTATCTACCAACTAAGGAGCATATTCCACCCAGATCATGTTTTTAAGTACTGTTTCGACAATGTGTTATTAGCTCGTTACGGCCAAGGTAAGTATTGGGGTTAGGGTTAGGATTAGGGTCATAATTAGCATTTGGGGTTAGGTTTACGGTTAGGATAAACGTGTAATTGGGATTTGTGTTAAGTTTAGGGTTAGAGTTAGGGTCAGGATTAAGGTTGGTTTACACCTAGGGATAGATTTAGAGTTGATATCATTTATTTTAATTTGTTTCGTTATCCACATATTCCTGGTAAGTAGTTGTTGATCCTCTTACTGTAAACCATATTGATTCAACTGAGGGATTTTGAGGAAAACTGCACGTGAGGATAAGAGAGATAAACGATTCACAAAAATAGTTCATCTTCAGTCACCTCGGTGAATACATGTAAAGAAACTAGTCTAACTTGGTAACTGATACTCTTCATTATAACTGGGACGTGTTTTTAAGTCATGTCAGGGAAAGATAACCTGTTTAATGTTTCTTCATGCATTTTTTTTTTGCAAATATGCATCATTTTTGTAGAAAAGTCACTTATTTTTATGATTGGTTGCCTGAAGGTCACTCGTGCGTTCGCATCCCTTGAACTTTGCCCATCTATTAACTGGTGTGTCTCTTGTAGTTTCTGTTTGTCTTTATCAATGTAGACCTTTAATCGAATTGTCGATTCATAATCATCCAGGAGAAACGTTACTTACTTCCCTTGGAAGACTAAGTTTATCCCCAACATAGTTACTAGTCTTCTCCCTCACACCGGCCGACTACTGAAGAGAGATTTTTAAACTTACAGCTCCTAATGGATATATTTAGCTAAACGGAATAATGAAAAATTCTAGTAGTTACAAGCATCAATCTCTTGTTCTCTCAAACACAGATTATCCACGAAACTCAAATGTGAACTCTCGGAGGGAAGGCAAACAAACTGATCATCGAAGATGTAATTTCTGAAACTCACTTTGGTTTACGAATATTCCTCACACACACACCCCACCCCACTCCTACAATCATCTCATCCGATATCAATGTACTTGTCATTATTTCAACAGACTAATCAGTGGTAACATTCATCTAAGTAAGGATAATGTGATCCAGTCTTATTAGAACTAAGTGATATGTTTTTATGGATTTTACACACTCAGAGGACTCCGATGAGTAGTAGTGACCTCATGCCCCAGGCTCTCGAGTAGGAAACGACGATTTGGGCGTCCGAGGGTGACATGGAAAAGAACGTGCTGGTAGGGAGATAAAAGCTTATGGGCAATAGTGGAGCCAGCTTAAAAAAGACTACTCAGAACAGAGTGAAATCAAGAAGCCCTGTGTTCTACTTGGAACCCAAAGGAATAATAATCATAATAATAATCCTGAACATCACATTTCAACACTTACTGATAAAATTTAACTGGTGGATGGTGACTAGCAGTGGAATGAATCCAGGATGCGCATTTCGTCCTGTTTGGGACTCTTCATCTGGATGTATCTGCATTTCCCGGTGAGTGATGATGTTCCCAGCGAGGCTCGAACCCAGTGCCCATAGTTTCAAACGCCAAAACGTTTACGTTGCACAAGAGATGGCTCTCATCGCCCAAGTGGTCTAGTGGATAACGGGAAAATCTCAAATTCAATTAAACTCACTGATAAAAGTTATTAGGAGATTCAATTCATTTTTGACAGACAAGGGTTAGTCAGTACTTCAAGTAGTCAGAATGGACTGTGATTTTAAACTTGGATTTTGTCCACTAACATTTAGATTTCAGATAATCAACATCTCACGACTAAAATCTGTTCAGCTAATTTATCTACTGTTTCATACTAAGTAATAAGTGTGGTTTTTGTTAAAATTATGTATTAACCGTAAAATTATTCTACTGATTCACACACACAGGATACACAACTACGTCTCATATATCGATCTGATCGTACTATTGGCTACAAACCGGGCATATTGATTCATTTACTGGCATCGAATCGTGCTCCTCCAATGAATCTGAAAGAAATTCAACTTGTAATTGATATTGCCGGTCAACGTCATATTGATATTTTGGAACCTGAGCCTGGTTTATCAAAATCTTTTTACTGGAATAAAACAGATGGTTACAATCGATCTGTTTATGGTTTAGTTGATGCTAAAGGTAAGTAGTACCTGGTGATAGTAATGCAAGGAGATAATTCGTCCAGACTCATAAAATTACTTGAATAGTAACGGAAGTGCATATGCGACATGTTCTTAATCAAACATACTATTACTACTACTATCACAGATAACTGTGATTCGTTTTTTTTTCTTTTTGCGAAAAACACGTTCATCAACTTCCAAGCCTTATTGTTCTGCGCTAAAAGTTTGATTGTATCCTTGAAAACAGTAGCCATACCGGGAAACTTAGTTACTGGTTGCTGCAATAACGCCTAACCTGGCTAAGTAGTCTCATCAGAACCACAAATTCTTTTCAGTGATTTTCTCTATGAATTCATAGCCTACTGAGCATTGTTATTCATATCCTATGTAGAAATGGCTCTCTGCAATGGTGGGATTCTACCAACTATTCTGTTTTATTGGTTACAGGATTTCATTATAAGCATTATGACATCGGTTAGAGAACCGTTGGAAAACCTGGGAGTACTGTACAGCTGTTCATATCGTCTTAGTTTGAGACTCTTCATCAGTTCGCACCCACCCCCACTACCAGGGTTCGAACCCAGGACCCTCTGGTTACAGGGCAAGCTATTTTGTAGACCACTAATCCATCGCCTCGTAACCAGAAGGTCATGGGTTCGAACCCTGGTGGTGGGTGCGTACTGCTGAAGAGTCGCAAACCAGGACGATACGGACAGCCGTCCAGTACTATCAGGCTTTCCAATGGTTCTCTAACCGATGTCAGCCCTTAATGATACCCTGTAACCAAACATTCAAATCCCTACAAATCAATAATTGAATACTCTGTTTCAACTATGTGTCGAAGTACTGTGGTTTCATTGTCTTAAGCGCTCGTCCTTACACCACTAGGCCTTGTATTTAGTTGCTACTCAACACATATTCGTTCAGACTAAGAAGCTAGATATTACCATAAGCTTTAACACTTTGAGTGTGGCTCACATTGTAGTACATAAATTTCTTTTTCCATGTGTTCATTAAACTACCTCTTTGCAACCTGTTACGTTTAATGATTTTATAAGTTTTATCTGTATGTAAGAATTAAGCCAATGCTAATAACTCCGTAAGAAAAAAACTACCTTGTAACAAGCATAATACTTACTGGAGTTATTTTCACTCGTATCATCGAGCTTAATTATTCAAAAAATGTAGACAAAGATAAGGAGTTAGAATCTGAAGAGTCTCTCTTGACTACGATAGCAAAAGCAAAAATCTGTCTTAAAAAAATAATTAATCATTGTAATTTTCTTTGCAATTCCCATCCCTTTATGGCGCCATGCAACATACAAATAAATAAATCGAACTGTCGCTTTGCATGTTCAACAGAGTCTGTTGAAAACTATTTATAAAAAACCTTTTTATTAGGAAATAAGACTATAAAACGAGAAATATCTGGAAATGTTTTTGGTGTTCAGAATAACTGAGTTCTCACCATGGTGATTTGCACAGAGAAGTGCGGCAGTTCAAGTCGCCACACTGCATATAGCCCACAAAAGTAGCGAAAAATAAAAATTCAAAAGAAGTATAATGAACAGGTATGTACAGGATAGGAAAGAACAGATGTGTGAATTTGATTCATCCAAGATTTCACATAGACCGAATTCATCTGGACCACTGGGAACGGTTTCGAGCTATGTAACCAGGTCTGTAGTCAATGGTTCATACTGTTTCGAGGATCCCAACGACTCAGCCTTTACCTTCCTATGTGCCTCAAGCCAATAGTCAAGGACTTCATTGGTTGATTCCGTGTTTTGATTTGCTCCCCTCCAACTCCTTTCCAAACCTAATATTGTGTCACCTAACGCTGCTAGATGAGGAAGCTTATGGCTTGGCATGCGTAATACGTGTCCTAGCCATCTCAGTCGATGCAGCTTCACGACCTCATCTATTGATTTTCCTTCCTTACCTAGCACTACGTCTAAACTCAGTATAACCCACAAATATTATACCACTTAAGATAGGAGACGGAACTCAGACATTCATAGTTAAATACAGCTAGCCTCCTTAAGTCTTCCATTTTCATCAGTCACGTTTCGTAGCCACTGCTGCGTAGTGCACACGTGTCCGACAACTGTAATCTATCAATCTGTCGTGCTAATCTTTTGTTTTCTCAAAGTCTCCAAGCTCTCCATTTCTAGCGAACATCCATGGTTTCAGGTGCCAGAGTGTTACCTAAGAAGGCTCACTCACTGGCTAGTTTTAAATGTTATAGATATTGATAGCTACAACACGCAGTTAGAAGTGCAGCTTAAAGTAGATACGTGTGAATTTTATGAATTTGAATGGTTATTCCAGTTTGGGGGGAACAAGGTAACAAATAATGTGGACTTATCAACAGAGAGAGAGAGAGACTCTAAAGTTTGGGAAGTGGGGAGGAAAACCATACAAGTAACATTGGTATACCAAAGAATGATACTTTTTCCAGTCTATAGTTTGTTAGTTATTCTTTTTCTAAAGAATGGATACTGAACAAAGAATACTCTTTTCGATAACTTCATCATCAGGCTCTACAGTTACATATACATAATAGTGAATGAATTAGTTTTTGATGTGGTTTTGTTCTCTGAGCTGGATGGTTAGTTTGCGAAGCTTTCATCACCCTACTGGGTGACATCTTCAGCGCATAATTCAATTTGATGGACAACATTAATGTCGTTGTTTAAATAACATTTAATCGATAATATTGATAGATTACAGCTTAATAGCATCAACACAACAATGTCAGAAATATATTAGGAAGGATAATATTACAAACTCATGACTTTATGTTCTCTATTGAAGGCCAGGGCAGTAGTAGGAGCTAGACTTGCTTCTTTTGAACACAGAGCACTGGTTGTTTCACACGAATTGCAATAGCCTCTGCTGTTTGGAGGATTCGGTGCTTCGGTGGTTTTGGCAATTTATTTGGCACTCGGTAGATGATGATAGAGAAGGATTCTTCAATGCTGGCTGGCTTTGTGGCCGGTTTGGACCAGATGCTCTAATATCGAACTGTTAGTGGTTTTCACTACACCTTTACTTAGCCATAGTGGGAGATGCTCTCGATTGAGCACGAAAAATCAAGTTCCTAGAGCAACGGCCAACATAACTGGCTCCACAAGCGCGGTTGAATTAGTAGATACAATTGGAAGTAGCTAGTCTAGGTACTTCATCTTTCAGTCGGGGTAGCACCATCGGTCGTGTAGAGAATGAGACGTGTAGTTCGCCAGCATTAAAAGTCTTTTGAACTGATTTTCTCGATTTCTTCGTAATTATCTCACCTTGGTATATCGCCCATGAATTGTAGTCGTGTATAAAGAGGCTTCTTTTTGACAGATAGTTCTTTTTCTGTTGGTTATTTCACTCAATTATTGAAAACAGAATTATTTTTGCTTTATCTCAAACCAATCCTACTTTGACTAATATTATTTGCCCCCTGCGGATATAATAAGGACTTCCTAACTGCTCATTACTTTTATATCATTACACGATTATTCAATGATCGGCCGGTAACTGTCATTGTTATTTGCTTTATGTGTTTTCTATTTTGCTTAGTATCTGTTGGTTATGTGTATACAAATTGTCCACGTGTATTCTGGGAACATAGACTTGTTCAAATAACTGGTAATGAACTTATCAGTTCAGATTTGGCTAATTGGAATTTGAATATCCTGCATACATACACAGTCAATCATGGTATTGTCTATCGGTAAGAGTCCTTATACACATACAGACATTTTTATATTTTTCTAAAAAGTCATTTCTATATTATTATTTTTTTTTGTTCCCCTTCGAAACTGCCTATTTGAAATTAGTCTGAAAACAGTAAATGCTATCCTTAGAACCATTTGCAATAAGTTCTTATTTATTCATGTGACTAAAAAAAGAAGACCTAGTCATAATATCATATCATATGACTGATATTGTGTAAGATGACATTGTGTTGTAGTGTGGCGATGCCTTAGATGCCTTCTAAATTTAGCATGTGTAAATTTTTGAGTGATACTTGAAAATTAATCTGATACTCACTAACGACTGGTCCTATTCAGGCAGTTAACCTGAGGTTCTGGTGGGAAACCGTGATTAGTAGTGTGCAGCAGGTTGAAGGTGAGGCAGTAACTCATCGAAGAAGACATTAGCTAGCGGTTGGGCTATGTTGTGAATTGGCAGAAGTTAGAATTCATGGACTGGCCATTGGATCGGGTCCCGGTGGCTTAATGGTCTACGAGCTAGCTCGCCTTGTAACCAGAAGATCCTGGTTTCGAAACCCTGTGGTGGGTCCACCAAACTAGGTTGGTGAAACAGCTGTCCAGTACTCCCAGGTTATCCAATGGTTCTCTAACTGATGTCAGCTCATGATGAAATCCTCCAACCAATAAAAGCATGTGACACTGATTGCATTACCAAAATGGGTAATAAATCAGTACCACATAATTAAATACGAATACTACTGTGTTGTAATGTATAATTTGCAGTTAATACGGGTTACTATAAAACATCAGTACTGTACTGTTCAGATTGATTAGTAAACTGCAAAAACTTCTGGATCCCACCGCAGTAAGTAGTATCCAATGCCAACAAGTAACAACGTCTCTTGTTTACCAGGGTTTCACAGTAGGTATGATTTCCATTATGGGTAAATTTTGATTTGAAAGAGTCTCACAGTGTTATACAGTAATGTTTACTGATGACGTTGCAGTGGCATTAAGTAACACAAAAAAGACCTAAATGATGAAATAAAACAGATAGAAGACGCGTTGGTGTTAAATAACTATCCTTTAAAATTCATTAGGAAGATTGAAAAAGGCCAAAAGAAAAAGAAAAATAATTGTGAAACTAGTAATAATAACATAAATAATAGAGAATACGTCATCTAGAGTTATAACATATAAAGAGGGGACATCTGAGACCCTATGTAGGATTCTAAATAAAGCAGGAGTTAGGGTGGCATTTAAACCTACAAACTCACTCAGGGACAAGCTCTGTAGGTTAAAGGACCCAGTTGACCCAATTAGGTAAAATAATATAATTTACAAAATACCCTGCAATGACTGTGAAATCAACTACATAGTCAAACTAGTAGGTCAGGGGTAGTCAGACTAAGGAATTTAGCTAAGGTAAGAATGGTCGACCCTGAAAAGATAAGTAATTTAGAAAAAAGCTCAGCACTGCATTGCACTGCATGCATTAAGACACAACCACACAATAGGGTGGGAGAGGGTTAAAATTCTAAGAAGTAATATAGGTAGGTGGAGAGAGAGATTGATTACTGAATCTTTGTTCATCGAGTCTACACCCAACACATGCAATAGAAATGATTCATCACTCATACCCGAAATATGGAAAATACTACTACCAATCAAATCAAGCGATGAAAAATAATGGAATTATATAAACGAAGTTAGAAAGTCATCTGAGTACCTTGATATGATAATCAGTAATAAATTGTGCTCGAAACGTCATCAGTAAACATTACTGTATAACACTGTGAGTGTTTATCAAAACAAAATTTACACATAATGGGATTACACTCTACCACAGTGCACAGTTTTATTCTTATAGGTATGATTTCGTTAGACAGTAGGTCTTCGGATCGCGTAATATATCCAAGCTTCACTGTCAATTGGACATGATAATAATGACCAGTGGTAAAATGATGGTAATGCCATCTCCAACTGGTCTGTAAGTAGTTCAGTCGGTGGTTCTGTGGTAGAATACAGGCCAGCCACACACAAACGTGGTCCGGGTTCGATTGGCGGCAAATTGATTCTCACACCTCACCTAGCCGGTAGTATGCCATGTAAAGGAGGGAGGGGTTGGGCCTGAGGCTAACATTCTACCTACGTTAGGAAAATGAAACCACTACTACTGAAACTTTCTAGCTGAAGCTTGAAGCTGTCTGCTCCGCTTAGAATGTAAAGTAATGTATATATTACTAGGGTATCCATTTACTTGACGGGTAAGGGCAAGTGGTTCACAAAGCCAATACCGCTAATTCTATGTGGGTTTTATGTTTTTATAGATAGAGGGGGAAGAAAGTATAAAAATTTCGTTTGTTTTTATTTCTCAATGAAAGCCTAATGACTTTCAAATAAAACTGGTTTTCGATTAATTTATCTTGCTTGTTCAAGCGGTGACGGTTCACATCTCTATTTGAAACAAACGGACTGGCATATTAATCCAGTTGTCGGATTAACCGAACAACGTAGGCTACCAAACGATTGTAGTGAGTGTTCTATTGGTGATAAGCCATCTCGGCAATTACCTCTACGTAATCCCCTTTGTCTGTTTACTGACTCCGTTGGCAATCTTCTTGTCGGAGATGGTGGATACCTACGATGGATGAATTCTACGAAATCAAATGAAGAGTTGAGGTTAGTGGTTAGTTTTATGTGTGTGTTTGTTTGTTTGTATATTTGTTTGATTGGACACTAGTAACTAGTGTGACGTTTCTAGTCCTTTCTTTGGTGCATGCTGAATTCTGTCAGTCAGGTTTGTACTGTGACCACCATTCTAGGTATGTCGCCATCACGGTGCACATTGATTTGATAATATTAGATGGTTGGAGGCGATCGGTCAAAGGAAGCCTTGGACCTAGGTTTCGTGCTAGTTGGCACTCACCAGTCAATCAGCAAGGTGTATCTGCAACCTTGAAGGAACAAGTCATGTCCCTTCTGAGATTCGAACCCGCGTCACCCAGTGCCAACTGCAGTCAGAGACGTTACCACTGAGCTATTCGGGCTCATGATCGACCTTCTGTAGGACTGTAGTGGATAGTTTGATTGAACACTAGTAACTAGTGTGATGTGTCTAGTCCTTTCTTTGGTGCAGGCTGAATTCTATCAGTCAGGTTTTGCAATGTGGCCACCATTGTTTGTTTGCATATTTCACCTCTCCACTTTACTATGCTCAGTGAAGATTAATTTAGTCAGTAGGGAACACAGAAGTGTAATCTTATTTTCTTCGTAATGTTTGTCAACAGAATTTACTTGAATTTCACTTCTTGCCTTTTTAGGAGCTTCTTTTACTTCTCTGTAATTCAATGTTGTGATTGTTTATTGTCAAGTATTAAACGTGTTTATTATTTTGTAGTAATTGAGATTTGTTTTAAGTGCTTTCAGTGCTCTAGAACGTTAATATATAAGCTGGTACTTATTACTATGAGCAGTTTACTGTGCTGTTTTCAACTTCGGTTTCGATAAGCTTCAATTGTTATATAAGCATATGCCTGTTACTGACAACAATAATTCCACTGTTAGTTTTTAAAATAGTCTTGTCTGCTTTTCTTATCAGACAATATTTGTTCAAATAGTGCACAGACGTTAACACCAACAATTACAATGTTTCCTACTGTGAGAATAGTATACCTTCGGAACTCATTGTCTGTATCACATACACACCACTACACTCGTCCCCCCATAAATACTTTAGACTGAAGGTGGTCCGATCTTCTTGGTTCTGGAGTCTTTTTTTGCTTGTCTTATTGTTTCCATTTTGGGAGCTCGCCGACGTTCACCCGCTTCTGATGGTATATACTATACGTGACCCAGTGTCATGGTGACCGTCTGTGTATGATGCTTCCCACTTTGGAAGCAGTTGGCGTGATGCTGGCTCGTATTCTCCGATTTTGCGCCTCACACTATCATATGCTGCCTTCTCCCGACCTCTTAGCAGGGCTTCAAGTAACAGCTTCTTCGCTGACAGATCTTGAACGCTATTCAACTTAGTAACAGCCTCAAAGTCTCCTTCTTCAAAAAGTGAAGGCCATGAGCTTTTCATTTGTCGGCAGTCAGTGACACCAAATGTAACAACAGAAGGCATGACATGGAAGCCAATCTATGTTTCAAGTGGTCAAACAGCTATTTATATCTATACAGCTTATGTTCTTTAACCAATCACTGAGCGTGTGATTTTGGCTTACATTAAACAACATGAAATAGAATGTTCAAATACCTATACAGTATTCTGTTGCTAATGCAGTGTATTGAACTGTGGGAATATGTGAGAATAATATTCCGTTGGAACACATTGTCTATACCACACCACCACAATAAAACGGATAACTTATGTTGATATACATGTGTACAAAACTATCTTCTTCTGTTATTTCACTCATCGTTTTGTTATTCATCGTTCAGTTCTTGATTTAAAAAAAAAACATTTCTTGATACGTTTCTTCTTGTTCTTTCATATTTCAAGTTCATCATCCTCTGGTCAGTCACCCTCGTCATCGTCATTTAGAATGCCTCTAATAAGATCAGATTCATTGAACAGCCATATTCAGGAACAACTGAAGCGTAATGATCGTAGAATATGGGAAATGTTTGGAGACTACAAACTTGACTTCCTTCAGTCTAATTTTGATGAAGACCAATTGGCCGGCTATTTTATTGCTGCACATCCGAGCTATGCTTATCGTACAAACGATTATTCTATGCTTACAACACCATTAGGCAGTAGTGGGAATATCGGAGGACTCGACTTCTCTAATGGATTATTTCTGTCAGATACTAACAGTAAAAGTATTTGGTGGCTGAAAACCACACCTAAGCTGTCAGCACACGTATTAATTGGTGAAGCATGCTCATTACCAGAGTCTAAATCAAATATCATCTCAGAATCCTCGTCTTCAGGATCATCATCATCATCATCATCATCGACTTTCAATTACCAAGAATTCTGTGCTAAACAAGAATTGAAATCACCTAAGGGTATTGTTGCTACACAAATGGTAAGTTTTGAGACAAGTCGACCTTTTCGCTCAATAAATTTTTGTTACCATCAACAAAGCATCCGGATGTGACGCATTCAAAATACTCCATAAATCATATTTCACATCATCTTTCGTTATAATTGCATAGTATGTGTCCGGCCATTCATCTTTTAATATGTCTTATTGAAAAGAATAGTTGGATTAGTTCCTTCTGATAGATTTCCAGTCCTATGTCTAACCAAACAAGCGTTTTAAATTAAATAATAAATGCTCCGGGATTACTATATAGTTCGTATTCATATTCAAATAGGACCTTGATGACGCTGTTTTTAAGTGTGGATATGCACCATAAGTATTTTTTTTAAGCGTATATATATAAAATAAAGTCAACATGACTACCATGCAGTCAGTGTATCTGAAATATTTCTCAGAAAATACAAACTACTCATAAGTAAGCAAATTTGTTTTATCTAAAATAAAATGGGAAGCTATTCTATATCATGTCAGTCTGAAAAAGTAGTGCGAATTATTGGAAGTCTTACATACCCAACTGTCACGCAACAACCGGAGAAATATTTGCGAATTATAACAAGTCAGTGTATACACTAGTCGTTATAAGTTGCTGAAGACCACTCATGCCAACAAGTAATGCCGACTAACCAGATCGAAGTGATCTGAAAACCAAACAGCCATTTCGCTGATTCGATGTCGATTTCATCAGCGATGTGCCCAATTAAATTTAACACCGAAAGCCAAATCAGCTTTTACAAATGATGGGCTTCATTCTACATATTATAGATCTACCCAAACAGTTAACCAGAATCCAAATGGTTCGAATTGATTCGGTTCCATCAGATGGTTCGGTGACATTGCCGACGAGCTCACCTCCATATTAGCGAAACTGCTGTCCAGAGTTTAGATTATTTGGACTACCAGTCAGTAATTTCTTCCGTCATGCAATTGTACCTGCTTTCTTCACTACCATTTATAGTGGCAAGCAGGTCAACCGTTGTGAATTTTCACCTTGAAATAGACTAATTTTATTTCTTAATTCTATCTAAGATGATACGAAACACCTGCTTCGCTGTAGATGATTTAACATCTTATCTTTCATGCACAGATGTTATATGGTTTTGTATAAATTTCTATGTATTGCTAACAGTTGCATGTCTGTAGCTGTTCGCCACCAACATTTGTCGTTTGAAAAGGAAAACATTCGGCTCAATGTGTATAATTTGGTTTGTTTTGTTTTTCGGTACAATGTCGGATTCATTGACTGGTTTATATAATAGGCATTTTCCATATTTCACTCACAGTTCACTGAAACACTATTAACTTCTCCAAGTATTAATTTCTATTTTCTTATCTGAATTACAGGAGCTGTACTTTATTGATTCCCAGTCAATTTGGTCATTACCGCTACGTCAGACTAGTGCCAACTCCATTCCATCTCCTCGACTTGTAATTGGTGGTAATCCCAGTAATTCATGGAGTAAAAAGTCAGCCACGTCGGCAAATACAACCACAACGAATATAAGTGGCAGCAGTGCATCTGGATCAACAAAAACAACTACTACTACGACTTCTTCAACACCGCCTTGTGATCGATCTGTCACTGGTCATCAAATATCGTTGAATAATCCTAAACACCTAGTGTTTAATCCCTTGGAACAGACGCTATATTTCTCAGACGACAATTATGTAAGTTTTCTTTCTGCATTCTCTTTACAGCAAAGAAGTTCATTTCTAATCTTTCAACTCCATTTTATCAATTATTTACGTAGTCGTACACGGGTTTCCAAAGATTGTTAATGGACTTCATCAATTTGCAATTAATAGTGTTCTCTGAGCTGGTTGGTTAAGTTGCGGAGCTTTCGTCGTCCTTCTGGACAACATCTTCAGCGCAATATTTAACATAAAGTGAAATGATTTAAATTTCTTCATGAATGATATAATTGCGTCTCCTGGTAACCATCTTTACATATGTATTGACCATTTTCTGGTCACCTGATTTACTTTTTATTAGTTGGTATATTTCGTCTACATTAACGTGTTTGTTAATTGCATTTTCGTTTGAGTACCAGGCTTCTAGAAATTTCCTCACTGCAATTTTGGTGTTTCCTCTGTCTAAGATTTCGATATTATCCCAATCAAATTGATGTCCATAATTGTATATGTGCATTGATATGAAAGAATATATATCGTGTCTTTTCACGGTTGATTTGTGTTCTTGGATTCTAATTCGAAGGGGACACCCACTTTGACCGATGTAATGCCTGTTACAGTTCATACAATTTATTTTGTAAATGGTATTAATTTTATCTCCTTTTTCTGTTGGATCTTTCGGTTGGCATAACACTGAATTAAGCGGTTTGACTGGCTTGTGTGCTATATCTATATTAGACGGTTTCAGTATTCTAGCTGTTATATCAGAGATATTTCTCATGTATGGTAGGATGAATTTCTTTTTGGTCTTTGGTGATGGTTCTTTGTTGGTGCTTTGATTTGACTTTAAACACTTTTTGATGAAATTTTGTGGAGTTCATCAATGGAAGTATTAAATAGTCCACTTATTTCGTTTGTTGAAATTCTAAGTGTACTGTAAGTACCAATTTTTGTTTTTGATATGTAGGTGTTTATTACCTTAGGCTGAATATTCAAACATTTATGCGTTCTTCCGACTTAAGCTATTTTATCTACCACAGTTGGAGTCACAGATTGTTACACAACAAAGCGAAATCCGAGTAACAAATACCTTCTAATGGAGTTACGCATATGGTTACTGGCATATCAGTAAAATTTGTATCGCCAATAACTTCGAAAACATGTGATATGTTCTTAAGCTGGCAAAAAGCAGGGGTTTAGTCGTCTGCGGTAGCCTTCGTAAAGATAATAGCGTTTCGACGATCTTTGCTAAGATTTTGATGTAATTGTTTTAGGTTTACATGTGCTTGTCTGGTGAGCTACTGTGTGTAGACTATACACATACTGAAGGTTCAGTTTTCTTGTGTAGACTGTCTGATTATCATAGGTAGTATTGAGTTTGACCATTACTCCAAACCTCTAACTAGTATCTTGACTATGCGTTGCTTGTCCTTTTTTCGCAGGTTTATCGTTACCATCTTGTCAGTCAAATGGTATCATTGGCAGCTGGACGCTTGAGTGGTTGTCCTATTAAAACAGACGATTGGAGTTTTGCTCCATTGGCTACACAAGTCGAACTGGAAGAAATTCGCGGTCTCAGTGTCTCACCACAAGGTGATCTATTCATAGCACAATCTCAGCGTATATGGGTTCGTCGGTCAGCTGATAATCGTTTGTATCCAGTAGCCGGCAAGTCACCTGATAAACAGACAAAAGCTGACACTGAAAATTCAAAACAAGCTAATTTCAATATTCATCATCTGGATGAAATTGATTTAGGATTAGCTAAAGAATTTGTATTCGACAGTATCACTGGTATAAGTGTCAGTTTATTCGGTGAATTATTTGTAGCTGATAATGTTCACAACAGGGTAGGTTTAAACAAAAATATAATTCTCTGTTTCTATCTAATTTTGTGATGTTGTTTTTTTTAACTCCTGATATTTTCTGAAAGAGGTATCTCATAACAGGGTACACTGTGTGGGATTACTTGTCAGTATTTAACATCTTTCGACAGGGGGACAAAGCAATAGCATACCAATTCATGTGAACACATTGCAGAGAAGCAGAGTAAGTAGGATTGAAAGCAAAGAATATTATATTGTAACAGCAGAATGGAAGACACGTAAGCCAAGGCATTATTATCAAGTGATAAAACAGCTATTTATACCTATACATTTTATATCCTTTAACCAATCATCGTCGGTGGCATAGAGCGATTGGGACGCCCGCCGACCGTGCACATGGTCCGGGGTTCAATCCCCGGCCACAGGACGCACTCCTCTACCTCGCTAAGCCAGAAATGATGCTGGTAAAGAGGAAAGATTGGTCATGAGGCTAGCAACCCCATCCTGTAAAAATAATCACCCCTGCTACAGAAACTTCAAGCCACTAGCTTGAAGCCCTATGTTCCACTGGAGAACGTGAAGGAAAAAGAAAACCAATCAGCTAGCCTGTGATTTTGGTTTACACTAAACGACATGAAATTGAATATTCAAATACATATACAGTATTCTGTTGCTAATGCAGTGTATTGAACTGTGGAAATAGTATTTTAGACGTAACACCAACAAAGACACAATGATTCTTACTGTGAGAATAATATTCTGTTGGAAACCATTATCCGTATTACACCACCGCAGTATTACACTAAGAATAAATACCTCTAGGATGCGATAGAAAAGTTAACTGAAATCTTTGCTCTTGCCACCGTACGATTATGAGAAAGATAAGCACTACTTCTGGGGTATGAGTAGTCGCACAACCGTAGTCTTTTTATTCATTCGTATTTTGTCAGTGTTTCATAACACTTGAATATTAGAAAAAAGACTGGTGCATTGTGAGTTAAATTTGAAGCGTTTGGAGAGACTATTATTATATGTGTAAAACTTGGGCATTGTGGTAGTAAGTAATTCCATATTAGTTTGTTTATTAGATATATCACACAGTGAAACAGTATTATTTACTGGATGACAAGGTTTCGAACAAAATTTATTCTTCATAATCATATCAATTGTAATCACACGACTTTGAAACTTGAGTTTTATAGTTTTCTTTGTCTTCTACTATTTGTCGTAGGGGTAGTAGAATTTTCCAGATATCTGGGACAGGTGTTGAATCATTCCTACTACATGTATTTGCAGCTGATTCGATAAACAAAGCTTCTGTTACTAATCTCTCCCTCCACCCTGTGACATTAGATTTTAAAACTGTCATCCTATCTCATCCAGCCTATTGTATGGGATATTGTGTGTGACTGCATGTAATGCTATAGCTGAACTATCCTCTAGATTTCTTATCTTATTTGGGTCAACCAATCTAGATTTTGCTAGGTTTTTATGTTCGGCTAGTCTGACTGCCCTTGTTCTACTAGTTTGACTTATGTATTTGACCTGACAGTCATTCCAGCTAGGTATTAGGTAAACTAAATTGTTTTGTTTTAAAGGCTCCACAGGATCCTTTAACCGAAAAAGCTTTGTCGGTCGACAAATAGGAGAAGACAAAGAAAGCTATAAAACTCGTTTTGGAGTCGTGTGATTATAATTGATATGATTATGAACAATAAATTTGTTTGAAACGTCATCCAGTAAATAATAATACTGTTTCACCGTTTGGAGAGGCATTTTACGGCGTAACAGTCACTGTGTTTGTTTATTAATATTATTATTTGAATTTTGTTTTGTCGCTTTTTGTTATCATCCTGGCAACTTCATCACCACCCAAAACTCCCAACTTATGTCCATCTACCTCAGAAATGAATTGGTCTATGTTTCCAATCAGTTTCTCACTTAGCGCTTTCAAATCAAGTACTGTACTGTACCAACTATGATACATGAATGTATAATAATTATCAATACGTAGACAGCACTGAATAATGCTACTGATAGAACGACATATAATATATTTAAACTGGGCTGGTTGATAAGACTTGCGTTGGTTTGTTTAGTTGACTCTTAAGGTGTATAAACTAGGCACCGAATAGCGTATCTGTATTTTCGGTTTATAATATAGCTTTTTTGGTGTTTTCTAATTCCATGTATAGCATGTAATATCTGATGTTCAGACTAGTGTGTATGTATGTGTGTGTATGTATTTGTTCTTATCTCGTTTTGTCTAATTTTGCAAAACAAACATCATATCAAAAATCTCCACATGAAGGTTATTGAACCCTAGATGAATCCAGTGCTAGACTTAACTTATTGTTTAACCGTCTGGCTTTAGTCTAGCTACTCGCTTCAGCAAAACAGAGAATGACTTTCATTTCCGGAATATGGTTGAGGAGGACTTTCCTGCCATTCCTCATGTAAATTGTGATATATCAAGATTTCTAGTGACTTATCCACAAGTTCTAAAAACTAGTAGTTCAGACGTGTATCTATCTGTCTGTTTTCGACATAGAACTTTGCACATATGTGCACCAGTTCAATTCGCCACACTCCCTCCATGTAGAACACAAAGCAAGAGAACAAAGTACAAAGGAATGCAAAATAGAGACAGTAGACAAGGATATGAGACAAAGGAGTAGTAATAACGAAGAACAATATAGTTTCAGTGGAAATCATGAGTCACAAGGAGTGGATGCATCTGCACCAGCCATTGAGAACGATCACTTTGAGCCATATCACCAATTGTTTCCAACCATTGGTTTTTACCGTCCCGAGGACCCCAACCAGCCAGTCAGGAAGTCTACACCTTCCTACGTGGCTGGCTTAAACTAACTGTTATGGATTTTATTGACTGGTGACATGTTTTGGTTTGACCGCCACTGACTCTTTTCCAGCCTGACCTATGTCAGCTAACATTTTTCGTCGAGGAAGGCGATGACTAGGCATACGAAACACATCTCCTAACCATCTCAGTCGATGTAACTTTACAACCTCATCGATTGATTTCCCCACTGTACCTAGCACTCGAACGAGGCCTAACCTCAGTTTTGCTCACCTTATTATACGATTTCACACGGGAGATAGAGTGCAGACACCTATGATCAAAGACAGCTAGCCAGCCTTTTCATTTCTTCCACTCTCAATGGCCAGGTCTCACAGCCAGCCATAAAGGAGGACGGAGCGGACTGATGAGCAGTACATCCGCCCTTTGGTCAATAGTCGGATATCACGACTACGCCAGAGACAGCGTAAACTGGCATATGCGAAATTAGCCCTCTGTATCCGTACTGAGATTTCGTCAGAGATCAACCCACTGGGGACCCAGACGTGTATACATATACCATTACCTTTTTTAGTGTGAAGGAGTTAAGTGTTATGTGAATCACAGGATAATTAATTTCACACTGTCTCAATACTTGCCAATATCAATGCCTATCATGAAAATACTTATTATCTTCGAGGCTTTTCGTCTAGTAGATTATTGCTGAAACAAATATTTACTATTCTAACTAACTGATAATAATTATGTGACAACTGAAGACAAGGGCCAGGTAACTGATCATTTACTGACAACATCAAGAGATGTGTATAGATTTCTATGTACATTATTATTAACGTTTTTATTAGCAGGGAAGCACTGTCTTCTGATTTGGTTGTTCTCTTGCTGAAGGTTATTCTGTACTGCTTGTGACTGACCGTTTCTTAGAAAGTTGAGCCATATATCTGCAAATCGTATTTGTACACGTTAAGCCTGCTGTGATTGATTAGTGAGTTCCTCTAGGTTAAGCTTTGTTATTGTTTTTTCTTCTCATGACCCCGATTCATGACGTAATATTGGCTTGCAACCAGCTCTCACCACAATTATAGTCCTCAGTCTATCCTAGACTTACCCTTAATGAAGCTGTAGGACAGGCTTTTAACGTGTATGTTCACTCTCAGCCAATGAATGTTCATTTGATTTGCTCGAAGAATAATTCATTGTTTGCAGATCAATCATCTCTGAAATATGTTATCATACCGGTTAATAAATAAGATGTTTTTGGAAATTTGAATGTCCATCTGATTCAAACCACTCGACTTTAAATTATCTAGTTACTGCGCTACTGACTGTGTATAGTTATCACTTGATTGCTAGCTTACTCTAGTCAATTACTTACTCAATATATCAGTATACTCCTCATTTGTATCTCTGTTTATTTTGTTTTGTTGTTTCTATGTCAATTGCAAAGTAATTTCCTCTTCATTTGTTTCCCAATTCGTTTTTATGTAAATATACACAGGTCTATCGTGTTCACTATCAGTTACCAGAGAAATCAGAATTGAGCAACACATATCGAATATTACATTCACAAACAGATGAAATCGACTCATTCGGTTCCTACGGTCAGTTGATATCTACAGAGAGTGCTTCTACTCAGATGATATCGCATAGGTTAGAATATCGTAATAATGAGATAAGCGGTTGGCTGTCACAAATTCGTGGTGATGATCACAGTATTAAATTGAGTATACACCGAGACACGCACGGGAATCTGCTGCGTTTACAAACACCGACAGGTGGGCAATTCATGTGTCTTTTGTTGTGGTTATTGTTTTTGTTTTTTTTTCGTTTTGTTTCAACCTCTGGTAAAGTGCGCCAAAATCGCAGATTCATCCTGATTATCATCGTGGTTTCATTGTGAAATGTATTGTTTTGAACCAACTCGATTCACTAGCAACTTGATAGTGCTAAACTTAACCTAGATATTATTTATAGTTAGTTGGAAGTTAGCGTCGGTGCCATAGCGGTTAGGATGCTCACCGACCATGCACATGGTCCGGGATTCGATCCCCGGCCATAGGACGCACTCCTCTACCTCGCTAAGCCAGAAATGATGCTGGTAATGAGGAAAGGTTGGTCATGAGGCTATAGCAACCTCATCCTGTAAAAATAATCACCCCTGCTACAGAAACTTCAAGCCACTAGCTTGAAGCCCTATGTTCCACTAGGGAATGTGAAGGAAAAAAAAGTTGGAAGTCATAACTAGAAGACCTTTGGATCAAACTTTTTCCACTTATCAATATTTGAGGCACCAAGTAGCACTATTATGATTTAACAATTATACAATAGACGTAGTTTATTGTCTGACACTGATATACAAGAAAAGAAAAAGCCCAGTGCTGGTCAGTGATGTACATATATATATATATATATATATCAGTGAGTGTTTAAAAAAATTCGTCTCTTTCAAGCTGCTGGTTAGGCATTGACTAATCAATACATTTCAATTTTTGTCTGTTGAAATTACTAACAACGTGTACGTGTGTGTGTGTCTGTGTGCGTGGGTGTACACTGTCAAATTTCGAACAATAAAGTGGGTATTGGTGCATGAATTATAATACAAATCATTCATTTTCTTGGTAGAGTTTAATTTTAAGACAATTAATAGTTTTCTGAACAAAGTTCGTTTGGCTAAAATGCTTAGGTATTTATTGTATATGATGGCGTTTATTCTTTGCTCCTACGTATTTTATATATATATATATATATATATATCATTTTATCTCATGTTCTCATTGACCATGCATATATACTAAAAACTAACTACCTATTGTTCCATCCCATCGTGTACTTATTTCACAATACACTTTCTCATATGATTCCAATTTGCCTTTACTGGCGGGCTATTGTATGCTTAAATTAAATTAATGGATTTATAATTGTAGAGCATATTTACTATTCTCAATAAGACGTAATTATGCACAACACTAACGAATTTACTTGAGTAATCAATTAACCCAATGCCTTAACTGCTGAATTAATTAATTTCGCTAAGTTTGTAATACACTGCTATGCAGAACGCCTGTTTTGCATGATAGATAAGCAGAGCAGGCATTAAGTTTCGTGTTTATCTTATACTCAGTTGTAAAGCCTTTACTACTGCTAACCTGTTATCTTGTTGTTATAGGTTTTAAATAAATAAATAAATAAAGGTTGATATAATTAGAATTTAATTGGTGGATGGTGACTAGCAGTGGAATCCAGGATCAGGCGCATTTCGTCCTATTTGGGACTCCTCAGCTGGATGTACCTGAATTTCCCAGTGAGTGATGATGTTCTCACTGAGACTCGAATCCAGCGCTAGTCAGCATCCACCAATTTAATTCTAATTAAATGCCCAGACATCGTCGAAGCATTTGCATAAGAAGCCGACGGACATATCAACCTGAGATCGAGCAATTCGGTCCAATCAGTCGACGGGAAAATCTAAAAAATTCAATTCAATGAAAGGTTGGTACAACTTAAATATTCGCATAATTTATGGAGAACAAAATAGTTAGAGCGAACAATTTGTTTTCAATAAATTCTTCTTCAGGCTCTACAATTATAAATCCATTAATTTAATTTAAGCATACAATAGCCGCCAGTAAAGGCAAATTGGAATCATATGAGAAAGTGTATTGTGAAATAAGTACACGATGGGATGGAACAATAGGTAGTTAGTTTTTAGTATATATGCATGGTCAATGAGAACATGAGATAAAATGAGATGAAATAATTTAATGATGTATTATATATGTATGGTCAACAGAAAAATACAGGTTTAAAGAGTGAGTGTAATCAGGGTGTGTGAGACAATATGAATACTACAGAAAACAAGCCAACGAATGAGACGGACTAGACATAAGCTCAAGGTTGAAAAATAACGACAATAATAATGATTGTAAAATAATAACGATGATATGGTGTAAACTTAAAAGTACTATTGGTGCATATCAAATAATAATAATAATAATAATAATAATAATAAAGAATTCAGTGAAGTGGAATGAACAGGATTTTGTAAATACAATAACAAGTTAAACCTAATATAATAATACCATAAGAAAGGTCATGGATTAATAAGGAAAGTCGGATGTGTAGTGATTTTAAGAGGTTGTAGAGATAAGAGGTCTTTAGAGGTTTTAATGTACTCAACTATTTTTGAATCAAATTAACATTTTCTTTGATTTTATTGACTGTATACTGACTGGTTATTACCTCTGAAATCCGATGCAGCTTACACTTCAGGAGGTATTCGCTTTGTTGATCATATCGGAAAGCACTCCCAACTACACATGATTTTACTCTGGTCTTTATCCGCTAACCGACTTAATGCCTACAATTCAGCCATCATATCAAAGATAGATTATGAAACGTATATCTCTCATTAATAATAATATCCCTGATTACAGCTCTGAACGATGATTTCCAGATTGTCTGTTAGAATATCAGTTTTCGTTTGACATTGGAATTATGCCTTGCTGATGTGTAGTCATGAAGAAAAAATCCTATTTCAGGTCTCATATTGGCGTTCAAAGTTTCGTCTAAAAAGTAACTTAGCACATCTACTCGATTATAAAAAGGATGTGAAACATAATTTAAAATTCTCAATATGCAAAGCTTATGTGTCGCACAAACTAGTTATTCCGGTACCTGATTATGACCAGAGATATATCATTATCTGTTTGACATTGTGGCGAGTGCTACTGATAAGATTTATGAGTAATATATAAAGAGACGTCCACCGGCATAATAACATCAAATAGCACGGGGATACATTTGATCTCAGAGAAAGCAAATGATACAGCGTTGTGGAGATGCAAAGGAGACGTGGAATGAACACAAAGAAACACAACATGAAGTCCAGAAGTACCACAACACGAGGATCTGTGCAAATGGTGCGTTGAAGATAAGGTGTACACAATTTGGCTATGCAGAGATACCACCTACCGATTCAATATGTATCAACATGAACTGATAGTTGAGGAAAGGGGCGATACGGCCTCAAAGTCGCATAGAAGCTACACTTTACTCTCAACTGGCTGCATAAAATAACTAAGTCCGTCCATGTCTTGTATCTGAAGGAGATCGTCAGTTATCTATTTGCCTTTTAACTCCCCTCCCCTACTGTATTGTAATGTAGCGAATTGCTCACACTATCCAGCTTCAGTAACAGTGTTTAAAACAAATTAGAATTGGCGCCTATTTTATGCGTTTCATTTCATGCGTCTGTCAATTCGTATAATGTACTATTTTATTGGGCATTTGTAAATATTTTCCATTAGTACCAGTTGTCTATCATTATTGTATAAAATAGTGATAAGTACTCAGTCGCTTAGTACTGAGTAGTGTTTTTTATTTTTTTTTTCTCCTGTACACATTTACTAGTATTCCTTGTTTTGTTTTTGACCAATGATTATATAACTTCAGTGAATAAATAATATCTGTTTGACAAAAGACCCTTTCGATTGTGTCGATGATCATAATGAATTCATGCGATCAGATAAATTTCAATTGCATTATACTGTACTTATAAATCAAATACTTTCTCTATTCATATACATAATTTACACGTGTACATAATGGCTATTAGTGATTTCACTCCTATGAGGTTGTAGAATTAGGCCTGAAGAGAAAAAATGAATTCGTCGGTTCGCTTTGTGTATTGAATAGGTAATCTTTTTTTTTACTTCAGTGAATACAACAACATGTACTGTACTACTATTTCGCTTACTGACTGTGTACTTGGCGTTATTATAAGCTAGCACTGCAGCTTTTGATTACTCTTTTTGTACTCAATAAGATAGCTAATGGTCTACCCGGACACTCTTAGTGTGTGTATTAAAGGGATTTACGGTTTCAAGAGTTGACACTGTTTATTGTCTTTCCAGTATTCGTTTTGTAGGGATTTTGTTTGATTGAATAGAGCTGACATCAGTTAGAGAGCCATTGGAAAACCAACTGGAAGTACTGGACAGTTGTTCATATCGTCCCAGTCTGGGACTCTTCATCAGTGCGCACCCACCACATGGCTTCGAACACAGGACCTTCTGGTTACAAGGCGAGCTAGCTCGTAGACCATTAGGCCACTGGGGACCCACCTGATCGATCCAATGCCAAGTCCACGAATTATAACTTCTGCCAATTCACAACAACTTCGATTAGTTACTGCCTTTCAAAATTCCACAAACCACTTCTTCTTCTTCTGCTTTTCTTATAACCATTTTAAATCGTAGCGAATTATCAGAAAGTCTATTTTTGTGTGTTTTTTTACGTGCAGCAATCAGTTACTGGCATGATTTGTTTAACTGTTCTATAATGACATTTGCACTATTTTGGGCGCTGAATATTTCTTGTTGTTTATTAGAACTCGCTAGAATTGTTCACTGTTACCACTGGTTTGCATCCAGTCAAATGTACGGCAAATGCAGTGTGTTATATTTTAGAGACAAAGTGCTTGATGTGTACACCCTGTCTTAGTACTAATTATCGGATGTCCAAGTTATAATGCAAACCTCATGAAAATGGGAGTTGGTGTTCTCTGTAGCCTCATGTTTTTATGCCTGATTCGTCTGGTTTGTAAAACTAAGCCAAAGAAACGCTAACATCGAACCAGCTAAGAAGCTTTTGTCCAACAAATATTCCTAAGGAGGAGGTAGGTGGAGATGAATCGGACTTACATTGTCTGTTTTTGACATAGAACTTTGCACATATGTGCGGCAGTTCAAGTCACCACACCTAACATTAAATGCTCCTATATGAAATTGTTGGCGTGGCTTTAGGAGACTATCGGAAGTGGTTTTTCGACTTCCGTCGTTTTTAGTGGATACAGAGTGAAGAAGAAGTGAAGAGTTATCAAGTAGAGGACTTGCATCAGTGGAAGGAAGGCAAGATGATAGAGATTGAAGATGAAGACAAAAATGAGTGAGGAATAGAGTGGTTTCGTGTGCATTTCGGATTGTGAGGGCGATTGTTACTTCCCTCCTGTCCACACCGTGGAAGTTGGTTGCGTGACCGCAGAGCCCAGGAGACAACTGCTTGAGGCCGGTCACACGCGGCCTGTTTTTGTTTGGTGTGTCTCAGTAGCATATTTATCACTTCTGCCCTGTGACATGGCAGCAGGAAGCTCGGTCGTTATTAGTCCAGGCCCCGACCGATCCGGCATGATATTTTGTGAATTTGTTTGAACCATAGTATTGGATTGGTAGCTGCATTTTGTCTAACCGCTATCCAAACACCTTTCTGGCATGGTAGGACCTCAAGAGGCATAAGTCTCAGCCAGTATAGCTTGATTGGGTAATTGCGGCATTCAAGCCCGACCACCACTTCAAGGTAGCAGCTTTCGGTCGGGATTTACATTGGGGGAGAGTTATTCAAGTGACATCATACGTTAATCGAGGGAGTTGGGTGGGTGTTTGGGTGTCCAAGGGTGACATGCAAAGGATCATGCGAATTGTGTAAAATTAAAGCTTATGGGTAATTGTGGAGTCAGCTGAAAGTGAATGTAGTGGACCCAATACCATGTAGGCGTGCTTCTGAAGGCCTTTATTCCATTGAGAACACACTGAGCATGAATAATAATATACGGTGATAAAACTAAGCAAACAGTCTATTTATTTATCCTAAAGCCTAACTTCTCTTCACTATTCTACAGCTTTACCATGAGATTTAAATTCATAATTATAACATGTTGCAGTTGTTCTGTGATATTATTTCTATGCTCTGTAATGATGGATGAGTTGTTTCGCTACACAATCCCATAAAACACTTTTTTTCTTAATTTCAGGTCGTTTGTACAATGTAACACTGGAACCTGGCTCTGGACAACGCATCAGTACACTGATTGATCCAATTAACGGAGGCTCATGGAAATTTCACTACTCACAGGATGGTCTTTTAACTCATGTGAAAAATCCTCAAGACTCAGGTTATGTACAGTTTCATTATGCTTCTGAATCAGGTCGCTTATTGTATATTACATATCCGAATGAGAAATCTATTGATGTAACCAAAGCAGTAAGAAATCAGATCCCAGTGAATATGCGATATGATGCAAATCGAAATAATGCCCCTGGTGGTCTTAGTGACTCATCGAACCTTCCTGACCATTTGAATACTGGTAGGTTTACTCTCTCATTATTTTCATTTTATTGGGATTTTCTTCATTTATATTTAGTTTAAGTGGCTTATGCAATGTTGTACCTTGGAATACGTCACGAAGAGATTTCTTTCCACTCTGTACTGGTATAGAAAACTTAATCATGCCAGCTTGTATTATTCGTGTTTTCATTTGATGGTATCAATAAATTTTCTTCAGCAAGAGTGAAGTGCTTATATTAGATTTGGGTTTTGTGTTCCGATGTGATCTTAACTAAACTACTGATACGGATTTATCAGTAGTATTTTTATTTATTTTTGATTACAGCTTGATTCCACACCGTATTTTTGGTACAAGTATGTGATTTTCAGCATAGATATCGGTAGCACAAATTTTTCAGGCCGACCATAAATATCAGGTGTGCGTCGGCAAGGGATCGAACCTCGGACCATGTGCATGGTCGGCGAGAGTTCCAACCACTATGAGGAGATATACATTGGCTTGAAAATATCAAATAGCGGAGAGGTAGATTTGACACCAAAGAGAATAAAAATGATTCAGCGTTGCGGCATAAGATGAGAGACGTGAAAAGGTAAACAACGAAACACAATACGAATGAAGGCCAGCAGTAGTAGCGCAACACTCAGGAGATTTGTGTGATTGTTGATGATAAGGGGTGCATAATATCGGCATATACAGACACCAAATACCAAATAAACATTCTTTTACGAAGTTTCTCGCCTTCTATCGTTACAACTTTGCTTTTGAGATTGTTGACTTCCTCAAAAATGATACATACACTTAGGATATTGCGACAATAGACATCTCACATTTATTTTATAATGCTATTTTCAAAGTCCATTATAGATAAGATTTTATTTTGATAAATCACACAGTGTTGCACAGTAATATTAACTGATGACCACGTATCGAGCATAAATTATTGCCACTCATAATCACATCAAGTTAATCACACAACAGTTTTTCTTCATTTATATATACATGTGTGGAATCGATTAGATATTGGAATAAAAACCAATATGAGATAATGTACATTCAGAAATAATAATATGAGTGTTATGATTAATTACAATTAGATGGGAAATAAGACGAGTGTTTTTATAGTCATAATAAGTTACTTGTTAGAATGTTGGTATTTGCATTGAGTCATTTCTGTTGCATGTGTTGTGTTGGGTGTAGACTCAATGAACCAGGCAGGATTCAGTAATCAATCAATCTCTCTCCACCTACTTCTCTCCCACCGTATTGCGTAGTTGTGTGTTAATGCGTGAAGTGCAATTGCTGAGCTTTTTTCTAAATTACTTATCTTCTCTGGGTCAACCATTCTTTTCTTAGCTAAATTCTTATGTTCCGACAGTCTGACTACCCCCGACCTACTAGTTTGACCTATGTAGTTGACTTAGCTCACGTCATTGCAGGGTATTTTGTAAATTATATTATTTTGTTGAATTGGGTCCACCGGATCTTTTAGCCTACAGAGCTTTCAAAGCATGTAGAAGATTAACACACGTAGGATCTTTTCATGAACTAGTTGTTTTTTTTTTGGTTGGCATAGCACAACACTCTATAATCTATAAATTAGTTAATTAAAGATAAATAATAATTGATACACGCTGCTCAAGAGATGGCCATAATGATCAAACAATGGGTACAGGGTTCGAGTCCCAATTGGAACACTATCACTCACGCAGTATGTAGGTACATCTAGTTGCCGAACTCCACTGCTAGTCATCATCAATCATATTCACATATAGTAACATACTACCTTATGTATAAAAAAGTAACAAGGGAGTGGGCGTTTCATTCTGAAAATTCAGCTTAACAGTAGTGAGTAAAAGATTACTGTTAATTTTGTTTCAATTTTGAAATGCCGACTAAATTCCATTTCACTGCTATACTATCATTTTTCTTTTTTCTTATATATTAAACTATAGTAATTATGATGCAAACAAGTGAGTCAAATAAACAAGTAATGGAAGTGGACTATGGTGATACAAATAATCTATGGAAAGTTAGTCTAAGTCAAGTCTATCATATTCAAAAGGATGAATACAGACCAGTTGAATTAATCAGGCGAATTACAATACCTGGCAATACAATTAGAAATGCAATTGAACATGTGTAAGTTGTATTCATCTTTTTTGAAGAAGAAGAAGAAGAAAAATTCTGTTACCTATAATTGTTTTTCCAATATAGTATACTTTGTTTTTCCAATAGACTCCCAGATCAGGCATATCAGACCATACAAGTGTTTGAACACATCGCGTCTCTGACGTAGACGTGATATCCGACTATCGACCAAATTGCGGATGTACTGCTCATCAGTCCGCTCCGTCCTCCTTTATGGCTGGCTGTGAGACCTGGCCATTGAGAGTGGAAGAAATGAAAAGGCTGTCTAGCTGTCTTTGATCATAGGTGTCTGCACTCTATCTCCCGTGTGAAGTGGTATAATAAGGTGAGTAACAATGAGGTTAAGTGTCGGTCAAGTGCTAGGTAGGTGGGAAGGGAAATCAATCGACGAGGCTGTGAAATTACATCGACTGAGATAGTTAGGACATGTGTTTCGTATGCCTAGTCATCGCCTTCCTCGACGAAAAATGTTAGCTGACATAGGTCAGGCTGGAAAAGAGTCAGTGGCGGTCAAACCAAAACATGTCACCAGTCAATAAAATCCACAACAGTTAGTTTAAGCCAGCCACGTAGGAAGGTGTAGACTTCCTGACTGGCTGGTTGGGGTCCTCGGGACGGTAAAAACCAATGGTTGGAAACAATTGGTGATATGGCTCAAAATCGTTCTCAATGGCTGGTGCAGATGCATCCACTCCTTGTGACTCATGATTTCCACTGAAACTATATTGTTCTTCGTTATTACTACTCCTTTGTCTCATATCCTTGTCTACTGTCTCTATTTTGCATTCCTTTCTACTTTGTTCTCTTGATTTGTGTTCTACATGGAGGGAGTGTGGCGAATTGAACTGGTGCACATATGTGCAAAGTTCTATGTCGAAAACAGACAGACAGAGTCTCTATGTTAACCTTCGTGTAGAGAAATACACTGAGCATAACAAAGCTATTCTATTGCTTAATGCTCCTCCTCTGAGATACTTATGGTATTTGGAAGTTGTATTAGCACCAACGGACTGATTGGCGATGAAATCTCAGCACGGATCCGAAAAGCTCGAGCTGCTTTCGCTGACTTACACCATCTCTGGCGTAGGCGTGACATCCGGTTATCAACCAAGGGACGTGTGTACTGCTCATCAGTTCGCTCCGTCCTTCTCTATGGCTCTGAAACATGGCCAATACGCGTTGAAGACATGAAAAGGTTGACTGCTTTCGATCATAGATGTCTGCGATCTCTGTCTCACGTTAGGTGGTTTAATAAGGTAAGTAATGTTGACGTTAGGCGTAGAGTGTTGGGCAAAGAGGGAAAATCAATCGACGAGGCTATAAAGTTACATAGATTGAGATGGCTAGGTCAGGTGCTGCGCATGCCTAACCACCGCCTCCCCCGACGGGCTTTGCTAGCTGATATAGGTTCAGGTTGGAAAAGAGCCAGTGGTGGCCAAACAAAAACATGGCATCAATCCATGAAATCCTTGACAGTTAAACTGAGTCAGTAGGTAGGGAGATGCAGACTTCCAGGTTGGGGCCCTCAGGACTCTAGGAATCAATGGCTGGCGACAGTAGGTGACATGGCTCAAAATCGTTGTCAATGGCGCAGATGTATTCAGTCTCTGTAATCTTTCATATTCCTTTCTACAATTACCCACTCTGTTTCACTCTTATATTTGTCAAACTCTATTGATTCTCTTCACTCATCTTGTCTACCTTGTGTGCCAATTGGAACGTGGCAACTCGAACTGCTGCACTTCGGTGCCAAGTTCTATGTTGAATCCAGACAGACAGAGACAGACTTATGGTATTTGGATTGTGAAATACTAGCTAAAGGACTAGTTAGCGTCGAAACGCATATTCCGTTTCCTGACGGTTACCTTTACAATCTCAGTGAACATCTTAATACAATGTGTTTGAATAGACGCACCTGTATTATCCTTGTGGGCGTATTTTTAGTCAGTCAGTCAGTCCCAGTGAGTCGATCACCATTACACAAGATATCGATATTTCTTGAACGATAAATTGTTGAGCATATATATGTCTTAGACGCAAAACAATGTAGATTAGATGTAGCAATCAATTGGTCACCGTTCTTTTGAGTTCGCGCGCATAAATTTTATTATCGTGTTGGTAGATTGAACATACGAACCTATTGGTCCTACTTTTTTATGCAACAGAATAAAAGTAAATGAGAAAGGAAACAAAGAAGGGGGAGAATGTTTTTACCAAAGTATTTTTAACTGTCTTTATTCTGGCTTATTTTCATACCTTCCTTTGTCTCATTTACTGATTAAATCAGCACAAGTTATTTGATCATGCTATTATATTACTTCTTTTTTGTTGTTGTTTGGTTCCTAACTGTCCTCCTGGTTGTCGTTTCCATAGTCCATCTGTAATGTTAGTGCACAATCTCATTACAATAGGTATATTCCCATGCATGGATAACCGACGCCAGGAAAACTTTCTCCCACATTATTGATAAACTATTGTCTTATCGAAATCCAGTTGTATGCCTATTACACACACAGATATACAAGTAGTGAGGGTATGGTGAATAAGAAAGTGTTCGTCTCACCTGCCTATTCACATAGGTAATTATTTTACTGGTGCCATGTTGGAAATGAGAAGGAAGGGGAGATAAAGAAAAGATATTCTATATTTTATTTATTTATTTTTCTTATTTTTGTTCTTCTTTTGCTTTATAATACGTTAACAGCGCCATAGTAATAGACTATACTAGGGCGAAAAGGTATTTTCATTTACAACCTAGAACAGTATCCTTGTGAAACAGATGAGTGTCTGTTAATTCATTCAGTTTTATTGTCTTCGCTTCTTAACCTTGTTATCTTGGACAATTGATAGATAATTCAGATTCATACAAGCCGGTACAACATTTAATGAAATATTTTTTCATATTCCTTTGCCTTCCGAGAGGGACATATGAGGTTTCAAGGTTGAACTTTGAAATATCATTGGCAGGCGTGTCTTTTTTACAGGATGCGGTTGCTAGTCTCACGCGCAGCCTCCTGTCCTTACTACAGAGCTTACTACCGAGTGAGCGAGGTTCAGGAGTATGTCGGCTGGAGATGGGACGGGCATTCTACCTCTGAACTATTATACTCATAATTTATTTGATAACACTAGTGTTGTATAGATGGGAATCAGTGTGACCACTTTTTTTCCTATGATTTTCATTCTTTGTGTCAACGACGTAATGTTGCAGGCAGTTACGTGTACTAATATCACGGTCCCACGTGCTAATTGGTTATCAAAGCTACATTTCTTTCTGTCTGTCTCATACAAGGAATAATTCACGTCTGAAGAACGATGAACAAATAACTTTGTAATTTGTAACTTTATTGCATTATTTGTTCCTTGTCACATAAATTACTTCATGAATGAATCACTGGTGTAGTTCTTCACGCCCTTCTGTGCTACCCAATTCCTTCAAAAAATAGTATTCATGCTTAAAAAGACTCACTGAAGATAAAATATTCACGAATATACTCAGCACTCAAATATCCAAACTTTAATCACGTTTTACTACAGAAAACAGTAATACATGTGTTTATTAATTGTGCCCCGGTGGTATGGCGGTTAGGACGCTCGCCTACCGTGCACATGGTCCGGGGTTCGACCCCCGGCCACCGACGCACTTCTTTACCTCGATAAACGAGAAATAATGCTGGTAAAGAGGAAAGGTTGGTCACGAGGCTAGCAACCCTATCCTTAAAAATGAACACTGCTACAGAAACTTCAAGCTAGTGGCTTGAAACCCTATGTTCCACTGGGAACGTGAAGGAAAAAAAATAAATTCATTATATACTTGAATCTTGTTCCTTTGTACTTATGTTGTATCACCACTCGTATACGCAAACACACACACACACACACATACACTGTAAAATTTCCTTTCCCATTTCTTCCCTTTTTTTATTTATTATACAGAGATGTGTGGACGTACTACCTGAATGCTGAAAACAATCCTAGGCTATCGGTTGATGGTTATTCCTCATCAGGCATTCATACTAGTAAAAACTCACAAGCCTATAACTTTTTCAATAATCACTTTAAACGCAGTGTTTCAGAACAAGGCCATCAATATGAATCTAATTTGTTAAATCGTTCAAAACGTCAAATTTCTAATCAATATCTCCGAAGATTTTCACCTCGATCTGATTATAACCGTAACAGTAATAATAATAATAACAATAATTTCGGTGAAGAGGTGGACTGGCATTATCAGAAGACTTTAAAAGTAAGTGTTCTCAAGGCTTTCAGATATTTTCTGAGCAGAATACCATTCGAACTAATAGCATCCTCCCGTAGTTTTGGTAGATATTGACGAGTGTTTAGACAACAAAGCTACAAAAAGCCGATCCAGTCTAACCCCTCCCCCTCCATACCGAGTATTGTAAGAGTTATAGGGACAGTTTTTTTACTTCTGAATTAACAGTTAACGTTGTAGTGTTTTGATTTAAGAAAACTCATCAGCCACACTGAAAAAAAATAAAGACTTAGGTTAGTTCCTAATAACAGAATAAACTTGATATTCACATTAATCCATACACTGGTTGTACTTATTATTATTATTTATTATTGTTCCCTTGGGTTCCTAGTGGAACATAGGGCTTCAACTTCACGTCTCTACTTGCTTCTGTCTTCTGCTGTACTTACTTTTCACCTGCACCCATCTTAGTCCATACTGTTTCAACTCCTCTTCACACAATCTCCTCCATGTCACCCTTGGACGTACCACTCGCCACCTCTTCCCTTTCGGCCTGGTTCCACTCGAGGAATGGCCTGACGCGCGCGATGTCACCCAGTGGCCTGGCCTCCTCAGCCACGAGTGTCCAATCCATGTCCACTTTCTCCTGCATATTTTTTGGCTGGCGATTGGTTCTTGTTTTGTTTGTTCCCATAGTTTCTTGTTGTTGGTGATTCTTTCCGGCCCGGTCATCTGATCTTCAGTATAGATCCAGCGAAGACAGTTGTTGATGAAGGTCTGAAACAGGCTGTTTAAAATATTCTTTGTGACCCACCCGCCAAGTTTCTGATCCATATAGAAGAACTGACTGACTTGACGCTGTTTGTATTGAAAATCCGAGCGGAATTTTGTTGTTAATGCTGGCTGAGTGACGAAGATCTCCAGATTGATTTCAGGTTGATGAATGTGTTTCTCGCCTTCCCGATTCTCGCTCGATTTGACATCCCCATCCGTTCCGACTTCCTGTAGTAGAGACAATGCTCCCTCCCTAGATAAGTGAGTGAACGAAGTAACCTCTTTCAAATCACTCCCGTTGATTGTGATGGTGCTGGATGTTGCTGTTCTTGTTGTTGTTGTTTGGTTGGTTGTTTTCATAACCTCCATCTTGTCTATGTTACCTGGAGTCCTGTCTTCACCGGCTGCTTCTTCGACCAGTTTGTCGGTTGTACTTGAATTCATCAGAATTTCTTAGGTTAGTGAGATATATGCTTTTGCGCAGAAGAAATTTCCATTGATGTGGCTCTTATTAACATTTAGCTGTGTGTGTCGGGGGTGGGGGCGGGGTTACTTTTAGATGTTCTTTCAAACTGGAATTGTTTCCGTTCCACTGTGAATTTACATTTGCCTAGCGTAGTTTGAAGGATTCTACCTAACACATGAAAATGAAAATCTCAACAATGAAAAATCAAGTCAATCTATTGAAGAAGTAATGAATCTACTGTGCAACTTTGAACTCCTGAATTCGTTTGCTAAAGTTTAACTGGAATAAGTGGAAATATACCCGCGACCAAAACTGTCTGATTTACAGTAAATAGTCCTATCTGCGCTAACGTGTGATGAAATTCTATTTTCTGTCTACCGGTTTATTTATTTATTATTTATAGTTATTATTATCATCATCATTATCCGCGTTTCAGGTGAATGGGCAAAGTCTGCTGAATGTGAAATTCAACTGGGCGTTACAATTAGAAACTTATCAACATGCTTCAACTGGACATATTCTCCTACAAATTGTTTACAATGCAAATTTTCAACCAATGATTTTCAATGCTTCTACAAGTTATCTACACTCGACAATAATGACAGCTGGGCATGAAACGTCGTTGTCAACGAAATCCGATTATAATAATAATAATAATAATGGTTATGCACGACCGGCTACACTGACTCTTGCTTATACAAAGTAATCCTTTTTTCGATTTTTTATTTTTATTTTTTAATAATAATAATAATAATTTGCTTTATTCCAAAACAGTACTTGCGATACAGAATGGAATTCTCACCATTTCACTACATACTGTATTCCATCCAGTTAGTACATTAACAATAAATAAAATTTCTACATAGATTATGGGGAATCTCACTTAGTTTTGACAACAACATATTGGCATGTCGGTGGTAGCAAAGCCAAAATTGAACAGAGTGTTTGAAGGTGTTAGAAAAGTAGATGGTAGCAAATTTACTGGCGCAAGCGGTAACAAAAAGGTCGAGATATACAGAGTGTGAAAGAACGAAGAAGAATGTTTTAAATAGAATTTGTAGGGAAGAGAGAAACAAAACAGAAAAGGAAAAGAAAGAAAGAAAACATTGTACCTATAAATGATATGAATTGGAAAGACGAGATTCAGTTGTTCTACTGACTATTTAATAAGTTATAAGTTTCACACCTAATTCTTTCTTTATCGCTCACACAGAACACGAGCTAATTAGGGTATGGTTGAGTTGGGTTTTTGTAGTTGCTAGTGCGAGCATATAGTTTTCTATATAGGCTTCTGGTTGGTCTGGCTGATGAGATACAAGGGTAGATTTGTGAATGAAGAGGGTGGTGTTAGTAAATAAAATGGATTTAGCCCATTTTTCACATGAGTCCAAGTGCCTTTTCGTTCATTGCTGAAACTAGTGGCTGTCTTTATTAGTCAGGTATTTATCTGTTCGGATGATCCTCGTGGTTTTCCAGCTCTATTTCAATACGCGTTTCAAAAAATTCGGTCCAGTTACCTATCTGCTTGCAAATACTACCACAGTGCCCAAGTTTCATACTTATATCAATACTGCTCTATCGTTTTCGTCCATTTGATAGTCGCTGAGATAAGTGAGCCAGTTAACAATTAAGTTTGGTTGACAATCGACATAAGTAGCTCATCTTTTAAGGCAGACACTGTCAAAGCTTCTTGTCTAAATCCAACCAAGTTTCAGATTCTTTTTTTGTGAACACTCTTCCTCTTTTTTATAGCCGTGCTTGATGTTCTTATTGTTGTTTGTTTGATACAATAGTAGCAGTAGGTAGCCGCACACATTACTTTCTTGTTGCAAATATCCTTGTGTTAACTAAAGTCTAGTCTCACTTGTTCAGCCAATGAAGGCTGCTTTTTTTACAGATCGCTAAGCACTTGACAATAAAGCTAGACTAATAATATAAGCAGACACTTCATTTAGACAGGAGTACAATGTTGTCACTGCGTCGTTAAAAGTGTCTGTGGTAAACAAGGTATTGAAATGTTTTATCAACCCAATTTTCATTATACGTCAAAAAACAGTTTTTAGAATGTTTTAAATTCATAAAATTTATTGTCACTTTGGCTGTCTCTTCTGGTATGTCGCTACTGTGAATTTTACTGAATGAGATTTTTTTCTAAACTACTGTATATCTACTTATTAGTAGACGGCTTACTTTCGCAAACAGACAGATAGTCATGACAAGCATAATATCAAAGAGTCTTATACACAAACAGTTCTGCCTAAGAAAGTATTACTATAAGTTGTAATTGATCTAACAAACTAACTACATCTTCTTTTCTTCAATTATATAATCTACAGGACGGGACATTTGAGTGCAGTTGAATGGGGTAATGCAAGCTATCGATTTTCGTACGATGCATTGAATCGACTGAAAGCAGCCGATTTAGGCAGACCTACAGATACTGTATCATTTCAATATGGAAATCCGAATATCCCTTACCAGGTAAGCAAGCAGTTTTATGTGATGATAACGTTTTCCCCTTGATATCTAATTCCCTTATCCGAGAATATAACTGTTTTGAAGTTGTGTACATTGTGTTAGCTACTATGTGTCGTGTGGATACATACCATACCTGATACTTGTCGTTTTAAGTGTAGGTCCATATTCTGTAGTCAATCCTAATCGTCAATCAATAGTAGTAATTGCTGTATGCGTCGGTGTTTCAATGGTATAATGTGTTCACCAGCCACTCAGGAGGTTTGTATTCCCGGCTGACTCATTCCCAAACCCCGCCCGGATAAACTAGTCATTATAAAGCCAGGGAAAGAAGGGAGGTTGGATGATATGTTAGCAACCCCACCAATTCTACTGTAATTTCAAAGCCTAGAGATTCAAACCCTATGCTTCATTCAAAACCCAAAGAAATTATATATACATGCATTTGCCCGGTCAACAACTGCTAAATATTTTCCTCTTTGTGTATTATTCAAAGTAATTTCCTGAGTTAGGATGTTGTGGATCCAGTGATTCGCTGAAGATGGTATATATTCTTCATCTTCAGGGGACTGCCAACCACTGTTGATAACCATTAACACTGCGTCGGTGGCACAGTGGTTAGGACTCTCGCCGACCATGCACATGGTCCGGGGTTCGAGCCCACGCCGGCGCACACCTGGTATCTATGGTCGGCCTGCGAAATTTTGGCTACCGATATTCACCCTGAAAATTCCATACTTGTACCAAAAATACGGTGTGGAATCAAGCTGTAATCAAAAATAAAAATAAATAGATATTTACGAAAGTTTATTTTGTGTAATTGAAGCTAACACAGGTCTGCTATTGTATCAAACCACATATAATTCAAACGGCTATTCTTTTTACTTTTGTGAAGGTTATTAAAGTTAGTGTCCGTCCAGAGTATAACTTATGTGAACATATGTATTACTGTCATTGTTGGAAACATAATTTGCCTCTTATACTCACACAAAAGGGAATTGTTAAAATTATCAAAGCCACTGACGTGGAATTAATTTTAAAAGCCAATTAACTGACTACTCAACTCGATTCTAGCTGGGTTTTTTCGTATTAACATCCAGTAACATCGTGGAAAGTAATCAACAGTCTGTGGCTCTACTTGAAAGTAGATTTGAATAACATAATAGTAAATCTAATTGAATTTTTTTTAGATTTTCCTGTCGATTGATTGGACCGAAGTGCTCGGTCTCAGGTTGACACGTCTGTCGGCTTCTTGTGCAGATGATTCGACGATGTCTTGGCATTTAATTAGCATTTAATTGGTGGATGGTGACTAGCAGTATAATCTGAGATCGAGCACTTCGGTCCAATCAATGGATGGAAATATCTAAAAAAAAATTCAATTAAATTAATATGACCCGTTGCACAAGAGGTGGCTCTCGTGGCCCAAGTGGTTTAGTGGATAGCGCTTTGGCGTTTGAGACTATGGTCACTGGGTTCCAGCCTCGGTGGGGGTACATCATCACTCACTGAGAAATGCAGGCACATCCAGCTGACGAGTCCCAAATAAGACGAAATGCGCTTTATCGTGAACTCCACTCCTAGTCACCATCTACCAATTAAATAGTAAAAGTAAATCTACTAGCCTAAATCAACAATAGTGTCCAAGCTGGCTGACAAACAGGGAAAAATACTTCAATTCTTAGTGCTATTCAAAATTAATTGAACTGCTTAATTATTTTATGTAGTATGTGGTAAAATGAAAAATATGTTTCGTCTTGTTTATTCATAATTTGCAGCCAACAATGATTTCTGTTAGCGGAGCCGGTCTTTACACCTTGTTGTATTCCGATAGTCCTTTTGGTACTAATGAACATCAAGTACTGCACTCGTCATCATCTTCGTCTTCATCTACATCGTCATCAACACGAAATTATATGGGTCTTTCTGGAATAATTACTCCATCGGGTCTAAGACGTCAATTCAGAAGAATTAATGGATTAAAAGTTAATCGGCTGATGTTCACGCCTTGGCCAGATTCACCTGGTGCCTGGACTTATGAATGGGGTAGTGATGTGAGCGACTCAACAAAATTCTCGTCGGATAGTAGTTCACATCTACTACGTTTCATTTGGCCAAGTAATTATAGACGTATATCCGTATTACCTAAGCAACATTTTATTATCTATGATAAAACGTCAATTCGATGGGATCCCAATGGACTGAAGCAACCAGTGAATATGTTAACCGCCCCACTTGTCCAGTTAACTGATAGTGCATCTGGCTTTCGTCTACAGTATCAACGAACATTTCAAGGAAGTCTGCTACAATCATTACACATAAATCAACGCCTACCTGGTGTACGCAATGCTCATCCTAATCTCGGTGGTATCTTAAACGCAAAATTCACTTATGGTTATGATTTAAATATGAATGTAAGTTTATAAGTAGTGACATTATTAGTGTGTGAAAATTGTAAACTCTGCTGTACACTTCTATTTCTATCTTATTAATAATAATTGTACTACTTAAGTCACATTTATTAACCAGAATTCATAATATCTTCTTTATCAGAAGTAGAAAAATTCATTGATATATGTATTATTACAATAAAAAATATAGAGAGAATTTATAATCACACAGGTACCATCTATTTAGCGATAATTCGTTCTTCGCAGTAATAATAATAATAATAATAATAATGATAGTAATAGCAGTAGCAGCAGTTGTTGTTCTTGTTAGTGTAAACTATCTTGGCTCGTATAAGGGTGAGTAACCCTGGTTGCTTGTAATATGATGCACTTCAGTACAACTTAAACTTTCATATACATACACAAGTGTAATATATATATATATATATATATATATTATATATATATATATCATTTTACAAGATTAGATTTATGGAGATTGATTTGCGTCGATTTAATTAGAAATAGGTGGATATGTTTGTATGTCGAGTTCATAATTGAGACAAACATCTTGTATGTTCCTATTTAAGCGACTTAACAATATGATGATGTTGCATCTGAAATGAAGTCTTAGTTGTCACTGCGTTTTGCAACACTACTCAGGATGTGTTGTAATTGTAACATTGTGGTGGGAGACGACAGCGAATATCTGGTATAATAAAGAAGATATTGAACTGTCTCAATGCTTTCTGGTTTCGATAATGAAAGGAAGACGAAATCTCCAGTATAAAATGATATCATTCTGTTTCGCAGGTTCTCATCAACTGCAGACTACCTGAAATTACAATGGTTATATACAGATGGTAATAACATACTTTAATGTTTGGGCGGTAGTAGAGAAGAGATACTATAGAATTGACGCATCCAAAATGAAAGCATTACAATTTATAGTTTAAGTTTCCATCATCAATTTATACGCTTTTAAAGTTGAAAAGAGGGGGGAGGAGTAAGACAGAAAACAGAAAAAAATTGATTGACAAAACAGTGTTAGCCTGTAGGTTCACATAGCAACTTAAAAAACAAAAGCGGTTGCAGTTTATGAGATTAAGATTTGTTCAGTGAGTTGAGATCACTGAATTAGATGACTAATTAATGTAATCAAAATCAAAATTTAGTTACCAAGGTAGTGAGAGGTTGATCACACTCTCTTTCTGTATGCATACTGAAAGGGATGCACATCAAGGGAACCGAATGTATGCAGCTTTCTGGAAAGTTCTTCGATCTATCTGAGAATGTGAGAGAGACCTTTCACATCCAGGCCTTCTTACTGATTACCCTTCCTTCACTACCTGAAATAGCAGCAAAGTGTTCAAAAACGGTGACTTGGTAGTTCTCATGGCCCCGTTGAAACCTTATCGCAGCTGGTATATTCACTTACCACTTACTGATAGACAGGACAAAATGGGCTACTTAATCAGTGTATCAAAAACCTTAATTTAGGCTGTTTATAAATTGTATTACTCACAGTCATTACCACTATTATTATTGTTATTCTGATTATGAAGTTTTTGTTCGGTCTTTTTTTCATTTTACCTGTACTTTGTTTTGTTCCCCTACCTTTTTATTTAGCTTGTAAGCATTCATACCTCATTGTTCATACGACAAAATGATGAAGCTGACTTCAGCAATACTATTCACCCAGACGACAAGACAGTATTGAATGAAGAGTCATCAATTCGATTGGATTCATTAACTGGTCGTCTAATAACAATGAATGAATTCACTATCAATCACCAGTCGTCTTCATTGCATATCACACACAATTTGAAAAATATCCAACTGTATCGTCAATGGGATGATCGTCAACGTATTGTACAATGTGTATTGTATTCAGTAAGAGTTGGTTATCTTTTATTACTACTGTGTTTCATATCCTGTTACATGTTTTAGAGAAAATATGGTTTATACCATTGATTGGTATGAGCAGTGAGTACTGTGATTCATTTTGCTGGCCTTCTTATAAATGTTATCCACTGCGTCAAACTGACCTCATATACTGTGGTCTGAATATCTTGGATCCCTAGTGGAGGCGAGCGAGGAACTCACCTCAAACAGTGTGTTGTGCTTTGCTAATGATCGGTTACACTCCATGTTTTCATTGTTATTCAAGTAATTATGTAACTCATGAATACAGTACTTCATCTGCCTAAATTGCTTTACTGTGAGGTACATGCTCATCGAGATAGGCGACATCAAATGTCTTCTGCCACTGACATCCCGGTTTTGTAGTTACACCTGTAAATAATGATGAAACTGAAAATTTCGCTGTAGGGACATAGACATACGTAAAAATTATAGTTGTATAAATCTCAGCGAAATTTAGCAAAATTGAGGTTAAGCGTCGGTCGAGTGCTAGGTAAGGAGGGGAAGTCAATCCACGAGGTTGGGAAGCAGTTGCATCGATTTAGATGGTTAGGACATGTATTACGCATGCCTAGCCATTGATCGCCTTCCTCGGCGGGAAATATTTGCTGATATAGCATGGATCAGGTTGGAAAAGAACTAGTGGTGGCCAAAGCAAAACATAGCTTCATCAGTCAATGAAATCCACAACAGTTAGTTCAAGCCAGTCAAGTAGACAGGTGTAGACTTTCTGGTTGAGATCCTCGCGATGGTAAAAACCAATGACTGGAGACAATTGGTGATATGGGTCAAAATCGTTCTCAATGGCTGGTGCAGATGCATTCACTCTTTGTGATTCGTCATACCCAATAAAATTTTATTGTTTTCCGGTATTCCTTTTCTTTTTCACTCATATTTCTGTTTATTATCTCTGTTTTGAATCTCTCTTTACTCTTTTCTCTTGCTTTGTGTTCTACATGGAGGGAGTGTGGCAACTCCAACTGCTGCACATCTTTGTGAAGGTCTACGTTGAAACCAGTCAGTCAGTCAGTCATCTTATGAGTCTGATGCATAGTTTACGAAGAAGGAAAACAAATATTATCAAAACAGAGTTTCACATTAGGAAATCATGTTTCAAATAGTTACTAGTCGTGTGCTAGCAAGATCAGGAAATCAACTGTAATAGGTTAATTTTATTGGATATAGGATGCAGTAGTGTTACAGTGTTATTTTTATTTACTAGTCATACCAAGGTGATATGACGATTAGCAGTAAATTGTTCTCGAAACGTCGTCTGCTAAATAACAAACATCATGCTCTAACATAGTGTTTAAGAATCAATACTATACACAAAACATTTATATATTGATTGGTTACTGGAATGTAACCAGGGTCGTGTTTAATCTACTGTTCTTTCCTTGAATCACTGGATCATTTAAATATTATCAACTTTGCCACTGGACTTGACAAAATACTGGATTTAGTGCTCACTAGTGATGTTGGAATATATGAAGCACGCACACGTGCTCCCATAATGAACTCAGATTGCCTAAAATATATAGCAAGTCACACTCAATTGTCTTCTCACACTCCTTTCCACACAGATGCTACTCACAGGATATAATACATAAACTTAAAGACTTACTGAATGGCACTAACTGGGAACTATTTACTGAGGACACACTGAGTGATACAATCACTAATATTGCGGATTATCTTAAATTCCGCCTCGATGTATGCTGCTGTAAACAGACGCTATTCAAAAGGCTTGACTGCTTCACTTCTCCTCATCTCAAAAAGCTACAAAGAGCAAAAGAGCGGCTGTACAAGCCTTAAGACAAATCTGGTCTAAAAAGGATAAACATCCTGATTAAATCAGAAATCCAACGGCTGAACACTACTTATGACCAAAAACTCTTGTCATGTGAAACTCCTGGAAACCTGTGGAAACTTTTCAATGAAGTTACACATTGTGGTAAGCAAAGTATTAATGTCCCCTATGTTGATGTAAATACTGTCAACAAATCTTTCATACGCTCTCCTAATGATGCCTTTGTCTCCAGCGTAACAAATAACAAGGTCAGTGACTTTCATGGTTTTACCACTTTTGATGTCTTAAATGTTTGAAATCTCTAAAGCCTTTCCAGAGCCTAGGTCCTGACGGTGTACCTGCTGTTGTCCTCGGGAGATTTGCTGATATTTTATGTCACCCACTTACAAACACATTCAGTACTTGCTTTTCCAGTAATGTTGTACCCTCTGTTTGGAAAGACATTAAAATCATCTCTGTACTCAAACCAGGTTCTAGTGTTAATTTAAATTTAAACCTATTTCAGTTACCTCTCCTTTTTTTAAGTTAATTGAGAAATTACTCTTACTCCACCTTGTACCCTCTTTAAAAAGTTTTCATGATCGCAATCAGTTTGCTTATAGGCAGGGCAGAAGTACTTTAGATGCTGCCGCTCTACTACATCATAACATTATCTCCTCCTTAGACAAAAGGTACAAGTATGTACGTTGTACCTACCTTGACTACACATCTGCTTTTGACTCAGTACCTAGATGCCTTTTGTTAAATAAGCTTCCTCTTACACAAACGGAGTCCTGGGCTGTTAACTGGTTATATTATTATTTCTCTAATAGAATGCAGTATAGTGTGTATAAAGGTGAATCTTTGTCTGCCTTGCTTACTGAAGTTGGTGTTCCTCGGTATGCTGTTCTCTCCCCTTTTATTTTCCTTTTCTTCTTAAATTGCCTACCTCTTTCGGGTGAAATCAACTTCGTCAAATGCGTTGACGAAGTCCCAATCAGACTATTGCAAACTTAATAGCATTTTGTCGGAATCAGTCAGTGGTCTAAACTAAATGGCTTACGTTAAATCCCTCAAAATACCAGGCTGTTGACTTCTCCTTTAGACATAAACGCGATCTGCAACAACTGGTCAGTACATACGATGCTTGGAGCATAGAAGGGATTGTAATAGAAACTAAGTCTAACATAAAATGTCCTGGTATAGTTCCATCCTCTGACCTTACTTAGTCATCCTTTATTTCGTCGATTACCAAGAAAATGTTCCGTCTAAGCTACTGCATTAAGAAGCTAAAACAATCTGGAATCACTCATCCTCTGCATTTACAATATGTTAACCCTTCTATCTTACCTAATGTACTATACTGCTCCCCCCTTACTCTAACCTGGGCTACTGAAAAGGGACTATGTCATTTTGAGAAGGGTGTCGCAGGTTGTCAGTAGGACAAGCGGTGTGCAGCTTAGTCAGCTTGTTATTACATTAGTTGGTAGACATCTAAACTCGTGCGAGAAATGGTCTAAATCGAATCTATATTGTCTGACCCTCAACACCCCCTCTATTCTCAACTCTCCCCTTGTATCTCATCTCGTAGAACTAGAAATCAGTACAGTCTATTATATGCCCGTACTACCAAGTATAGAAACTGAACGATACCATATTTGGCCCATGTTCTATGTGCTAGAGATAATGTTAAACGAGAAGCCTATGAATTACTATGTTGTCAGCAAAATAATCGGCTCTTTTATTATCTCCTATTTGTATTCCATGGTGACACTATAATAATAATAATAATAATAATAATAATAATTTGCTTTATTCCAAAACAGTACTTGTGACACAGAATGGAATTCTCACCATTTCACTACATACTGTATTCCATCCAGTTAGTACATTAACAATAAATAAAATTTCTACATAGATTAAGGGTAATCTCACTTAGTTTTGACAACAACATATTGGCATGTCGGTGGTAGCAAAGCCAAAATTGAACAGAGTGTTCGACTGAAGGTGTTAGAAAAGTAGATGGTAGCATATTTACTGGCGCAAGCGGTAACATAAAGGTCGAGATATACAGAGTGTGAAAGAACGAAGAAGAATGTTTTAAGTAGAATTTGTAGGGAAGAGAGAAACAAAACAGAAAAGGAAAAGAAAGAAAGAAAGAAAACATTGTACCTATAAATGATATGAATTGGAAAGACGAGATTCAGTTGTTCTACTGACTATTTAATAAGTTATAAGTTTCACACCTAATGCTTTCTTTATCGCTCGCACAGAACACGAACTAATTAGGGTATGGTTGAGTTGGGTTTTTGCAGTTGCTAGTGCGAGCATATAGTTTTCTATATAGGCTTCTGGTCTGGTCTGGCGTGATGAGATACAAGGGTAGAGTTGTGAATGAAGAGGGTGGTGTGAGTTAAATAAAATGGATTTAGCCCATTTTATCTCAATTAACTGACAATCTTCACTGATAACAATATAATTATTATTATCTACGACTTCTTTTTGTACATATATAACTTCACTGTCACTACGAATGCCAAATAAGCACTGCCATTAACAATCCTTTATTATTATTTTTAAATTTTTTTTTTAATGTTTCGATAAAATTAACTGATAATCTTAGCTAATAACATTATTATCATTATTTCAAAAATTTTATTGCGTGATTATGATTTTACTGTCACTACTAATTACCAAATAACAACTGCCATTAACAATCCCGTGATACTATCGTTATAAATGTTTTTGCTGTTATTCGATAAAATTAGATGCACTATTTGTAACAAATGCTGAAAATTCCACACTGTAACACACTAATACTGTTTTGGAACTAAGCAAATTATTATTATTATTATTATAAATCCTTAGTGGTGCTGTCCGTCGAGTTTCGAATATGGTCACCCGCTTAGGCCTCTGACCTACCAACTCACTGCACTCTGATTTTTTGTCAGAAGATGGTTGGCAGATATTGATTCCTTCAAGACTGGAGATAAACCCTTAGCTTGAACCTTGGAGATTTTTTCTCTGGTGGGCTCCGACCATCTAACACTATTCCCTGTAGTAAAGTGTCTGTCTGGAAGCGTTATCCTAGTGAATGGTTCTCCAATGTTTGAAACTTCAGTGAAAACCTGAAAACTATACAGAAACTATGTCCTCGGCTTAACTACCAGCCAGTTACAAAAATTGCTCTCTGTACACTTTCAATTATCATAGTTATGATAGGCTTGGTGCCATAATAGACAAATATTTCCATCGCACCTGCCGGTTTCGATGACACTGGTGGCTGGAAATGAATTCTTACATCTTCAACTAGCAGTTTGATCAGTATATTTGAATGTGCTGATTCTTTCGGGTAATTGAAAACAACTTATAGGCATCACTATCAAATTTCTTCAAAAAGCGTTCAGAAATCATGCATTTCGTCGTCTTTCGCCTTCTGCTCTTCACGGTATAATAATGTTGGTTTGTAAAGACCTATTTTAACGAAGAGTACGTTTAGGATAAAATGCTTAGGTGGCTACCGAAGTATTATCGATATAAGTATAAAACTTGGCCACTGTGGTAGAGTATAACTCCATTATAGATAAGATTTTATTTTGATAAATCACACAGTATTGTACAGTAATATTAACTGATGACGACGTTTCGAGCACAAATTATTGCCACTCATAATCATATCAAGCTACTCACACAGCTTATTTCCTTCATTTATATACATGTGTAGAATCGATTAGATATTTGAATAAAAATCAATATGAGATAATGTACATTCAGAAATGATAATATGAGTGTTATTGATCAATTTACAATTAGATGGGAAATAAGACGAGTGTTTTTATAGTCATAACAAGTTACTTGTTAGAATGTTATGATGTACATGATTTTTGTTCAAATATCTAATCAATTCCACTCATGTTGTATATAAATGAAGCAAGAAAGCTGTGTGAGTGACTTGATATGATTACAAGCAATAATTTGTTCTCGAAACGTGGCCATCAGTTAATATTATTGTATAAGACTGTGTAATTTATCAAAATAAAATCTTACCTATAATGGAGTCATACTCTACCACACTGCCCAAGTGTTATACTTATATCAATAGTGATAACTTGATTTGACTGAGTTCCACTCCCTGAAGGATTTTCTGCATACAGACTAATACGACTTAAAATCCTAACCTCTCTCTCTCTCTCGTCACAGGGCACAATTGATTATGGATAGCTATTAGACTTTTCATTATGTGAATTATCACAATGCTTAAGTGCTGTTTTGCACTCTTAATAACTGAAACTTAAAAGTTTATCTCATTTACTTTCAAGTCTTTCGCTTTGTTTTGTTGTTGGTGTTTGTTTGTTTTTTGTCCTCTTGTGCTTAAAGCTTTCATAGCACTATTAAAAGGTACACTGTGTGATTCAAATAATAATATTAGTAAATAAATATGAATACCTCTCAATCTGATTGATTTTTCTGTCAACCTGACCTTAGTGAGTTAGTAAAAATCAATAAATCCGTATGAAACATTTGAATTTTATGTCATATTTATTGAATACTGTTTATAAACGTACTACTACTACTATAGTGAACTTTTTTTGCGGTGTTTTACTACTTCTGTATTCTTCGCTTCCTTTGTTGTTTGTTATAGGTGATTCAGTGATTGAATAATAATAATAATAATAATAATAATAATCGACAATAAATAGTTTGTGCATATTGACAAATTGTTATTGTTTTTTTTAAAGTTTTGCATTGCAAAACAGAATGTTGATTAATTCTTTGTCTGTTAATTTGTTCCCTTCTTTTAAAATTTGCATATTTTTTTGTTTCTTTATTGTTTAAAACAGTTGAACACTAGACGTGAACTACTGTATAATCTGTCATTATTATATCAACCGAATGCACTTCAAGCATTACGACAACGTGAAGAACGTGAAGGTCAAGTACCACGATGGATTACATATGTACACGGTCCAGGTGGACGTTTAGAAGCTGTCGATCGTGAAGAAGCTGGTACAAGTTTACGATCTCATAGCCAGTTGATACACAATGCTGAAGGGAGAATAGCTCATCTACGTATAGCTACGTCAGATCCTCAACTACCATTGAATGAAAGATTAGAGGCCGGGTCAACAAGTCGATCCGAGGAGTTGCAATTCATCTATGACTCAAGAGGCTTGCTAACACGGCGTGGTAATTGGCACTATAGTTTTGATGAAGACGGCTTTCTAACTAAACGTTATCTACACAACTTTTATATAACAGATCAATTTGCGTATAACAGTAAAGGATTATTGATATGGGCAGAGCGTACAGTAGATAAACGGGTTGATTCCTCAGCTTCGGATAGTTTTCATTCACCATCCTCGGATCAATGGGCTTTAGAAGATGATGCTGGTTTGAGACGGTCGTATTCAGTTCAATTTGTATACGATTCTGAAGACCGATTGATTATTGTACGCGATACACTAGTTGTACGTGATTTAGTCCAATACTTTTATGCTGATCCTAATCATCCTATGCGTTTAACGCATATCTTCAATCATGGTCGGCTTAAAACTATCCGATTGTTATATGATCCTATACATGGTCATTTATTCGCCTTGGAGCAATACGATAATGCTGGTTTAAGCGCAAATACCAATGAAAAAATGGATAATAATTTAAACTCTAATAATATTCAATCGCCAATGAATTCATTTGATGATAGCCAATTCCATCAAGACTCTACTATTACAGCACAGAAACATGTATTCTTTGTAGTCACCAACCATGAAGGTAGTCCAACTGCAGTTTTTTCGGAGAATGGAAAAGTGAGTGGGAAACTTTTTTTTGTATTTAATATACATATGTATGTGCTTCTGTAATTGTTTATATTTTCTATCTCTATTATAAGGGGATGAGGGTAATCTACCTTAACAGCTTTGTTTATCTTATAACGTAAAAAAGCAAACTTTATATACACACCTACTCTACAGTTTTCTATCATATATATATAGGGACAGAAATAGGTAAAAAACAACTCTCTTGGTGATGAGAATTTATGTGTTACGAATGGATGGTTTGTCGATAAATCTACAGTTATGCTTTAGCAAACAGAAAGCAAGCAATACAACACAACACTGAACAGCTTGGTCGTTCATGTTCATATACAAGGATATGAACTATATCTGGATACTACTTGATCCTAAGTCAGTAGTTGGTGCATCATTCTAATCTATGACTGACTGATCTAGCATAAAAAGCCTGAAATTGTGATTTACAATTTCACTTTCTCTCTCTCTCTCTCTCTCTCTCTAAGATATCCTATCATAATCACTCTTACTAATCGCACACACACACGAATATCTGAGGCTTTTACGGAGGTCTATTCTAGGGAATTTCAGTGAAAAAAAGTAAAATTGGATCCAAATCAGAATAATGAAAGCAAAACACGTAGATCAGCGAAGAGACTCTTTTCGGCGAATTCATCCTCTTAGCTGTACAATCGCAAATATATATGTGTTGTTTTGTATGCATGTGTACATTAAGTTTATTAAACAAAATTACAATTGGTTATGTTTATTTTAACTAAACAGGTGAAGATTGGCAATATAAGTCAAGAAAATTAGGTCTAAATGAAATTAGGGTAGTAACAAAGGTGATAAGTTGTCACAAACAGTTGTTAAAAGAAGTTATGTAATGATAATATGAATAGTTTGATGAGTGAGTTGTACTCAGGATGCACATAGAAACAAAGTAGATAATACGAAATTACATAAGAGTTCTGAATGAATACAAGAATTATAAGCAAACAAACAAAATTAAGTCATCAAAATCAACAAAGTTGTTACCATGACAGTAGAAGTGGTTGAATAATTCTCTTTTGTATGCACAGCTCCGGTTTTTCTTTGTGAATGGCCAGAGCTTCAGCGATACAAAGAAGACGAAACCGTATTGCCTTTGATAGGTTATTCTTGACTCTGTAGATTACTTTGAAGGAGGCATTTGTTGAAATGGAATGATCAGTGTTAACCAGTGTTCAATTATCGCACTCCTTATTGCACCACTATTGTCTTTTCGCAACCATGCTGGATAGTGTTCTTGAATCCTCTTGGATAGGGTGCGCGTGGAACGACCAATGTACCTGGCTCCACAGCAGCAGATGAACTGATATATGTACATAGAAGTGGTCAGATGCGGGATCTTGTCCTTGAGGCTTCTGCAGATCAGTGGGCGACTGGAGGACACTATTCTTAGCGTTGCTGCAAAGAATGTTCTTCTCAGAGATGATGTGATCCTTCTCTTGAGAATATCACTTACTAAATCTCCCTTGAAATCTTAGTTCATGTAGAGTTTCTTTTTAGGCGCAATTAAAGTTTCGTTTCTCCGAATTATTGGTTCGATACTTTTGTCGATGAATCTTATTGGGTGTCCATTTTGGATGAAGATTTCTCTTATAATATCTAATTCCGTTTCCATAACGTCGGGACTACAGATGCTTCGGATGCGGGTGGCAAGTGATTTAATTAAATTCCGCTTTTGTTGAATGGGTACCCAGCTATAGAGGCTTGTTAGCTGACTATTCCACGTAGGTTTTCTATGCATCGATCTTTTTAGACTCCCATCAGTTCTTCTTGTTAGTTCCACATCAAGAAACGGAATTTTTAACTCGTTTTCCATTTCAAGAGTGAATTTTATTGCTGGATGGCAATTGTTGAATGTCTTCAGCAGCAGATTGGGGTCGTTGTTGTTGTTGTCACAAATAGTGAAAATGTCGTCCACGTATCTTTTATACAGTCGCAAATTGTCAATGCTTGGCTTTAGTGGACCTCTCTCGAGGCTTGCCACAAAGCAATCCGATAGTAGTGGACCCAACGGAGATCCCATCGCAATACCATCTTTTTGTCTGTAGATGGTGTCGTTGAATGTGAACTGGATGTTCAGATTGCATCTCAATAGTAATTCCTTCAAATATGTTGTTGGTATTCCAACGTTGAGGTGGTTGTCATCTATATATCTGCATATGAAGCAGACCGTTTCCGTGAGTGAGACATTGGTTAAAAGTGACTCAATGTCGAATGACAACAAAATTTTGTCAGATACATTCATGTCTTGTATGCATTCGACGAACTGAAAGGTAGGTGTCACGGAGAGAGTGCGTACATAATTGTTTCCTTACAGGTTCCACAATATCTGCTAGCCATTTTGCAATAGAGTCTCTTCGCTGATCTACGTGCTTTTTGTTTTCATTAATGCCTGAATGGCGATTATCCATGAAAATTAGAATAAATCATCAGACTGTCCTTCACCCTACAGCGAATATATATATATATATATATATTGCAATCAAGATTATCATAAGTATTGTTACCTTCTCAATAAATCCATTAGGAAATCGGTTTAAACTGGTTCATTGTGCTTCTTTAAGTTACATGCATGATGTTAACTCATAATAAATGTTCTTATCAGCGATTAATTCAACATTGCTTTTAGTTGGGATCATTCAATTTACGCTTCAATTTGATTCTCTATTACCGACAAATGTAGAGTAAAGGTATCAGATAACTAGTGCCCCAGGTGTTAATATGAACGATATAGTCACCCTCATGTTGTCATTCATTGAAAAACTTATTCTTCTTCTTTATATTGATATCAATTCTTTGTCTTTTTTTTCTTGCTATCAATTTAGTTGGCGTGGGCCGCTGAGTACTCTGCTACAGGAAGTCGTCGTCTAACACTACCCAATCGTAGTAATTTCTTCACTCGTGCTCTTATTGAAGAGATCGATTTACCATTGGGTCATGCATCATGTGTTACAGATTTTCATACAGGCTTTCTATTCTGTCCACCAGTTAATCGTGCATATGATCCTCTAGGTGCAACATTCACTAGTCCAGATTGGCGTGGTCTTGTTTCCTCACGACTGCCGAGTGTAAAACGTGATCCATCTGTTTTAGATACGCATAAATGGGGTCTGATTGAACAAGAATCCTTAGGCATCGGTCCATATGGTCTGTTTTCAGAACTTCGTAAAGCTATGAAATCGCCTACTTGGTGGCTTAAACAGATCGGTTTCAATGTGGATAATTTCCTCACAAAATTTGACATTTTTGATGGTGGTATGAAGAGTAGTAGTGAAAGCCTACTGAAGAACTTTCTGCCCTTATTCCCAACTGATATCACTTCCATCAATCTAGTCAGTCATACTCACAATCAAGAATATAAACAATTGAACAAAAAGTTGGAACGTCTTAGCATGCTTGAATCGAGTCGTTTAACTCCAGGTGGTCCACACGGCAGTGGGTTATCTAGCTTTCTTCTTGACTCAACAGACGTTAACGACGAAATATCTTTACCTCTATTGCCGGCTAATACTATGTTTGAATCTGAAGTAAGTGTGTGAAAGTCCTTTATTTTTTTTTACGGAAACAGAACTTATCACTATACTTTTTTTGTTTTTGGTTGCAGTCTTTCACCTAGATCACTTGTTTTCACGTGCATTTACTTAGTGAACAGGTACTCACATACTTCTATGTCTGTTGGGAGAAGAAAATAGGCTTTTTAATAAATCCTGTACTTCAGACAGTGGAGATTAATAACTGGGAAATTGGAGAAGACTAAATACTTAATGCGTCGGTGGCACAGCGGTTAGGACCCTCGCCGACCATGCATATGGTCCGGGGTTCGATCCCCGGCCGACACACTCTTCTACCTCGCTAAGCCAGTAATAAGACTGGTAGTAAAGAGGGAAGGTTGGGCATGAGGTGGTTAGTAACCCCATCCCTTAAAGATTATCACCACTACTCTAGCTTGAAGCCCTATGTTCCACTGGGAACGTAAAAGAATAAAATTTTCAAAAAAATAAGGAGAAGAATGAGTAAAATATGCTTAATACCTTGGCATTTGTAGTAATGAAGTACCAATTATTCGAAGGTGTTCTTTGAAGTTTTAAGCAAACAATTGATAAGCGTTAAATGAAAGATTTTAGTAACCCCTGTGTAAACATCGGAATAACTTTTTGAACCATAAAACAAACGGTTGTATTTTGATGTGTCTGATGTGGCGTGCACCGATTTCGTAAACTTTTTGGTATTAATATAGCAAAAATATTCATTCAGACATCTATAAAACACAAAATAATTGAACAAAGAATATCCTTTTCGATAATTTCCTCTTCTGGCTCTATGTATATGCTTATATACATAGAATATTTTAGATTAGTAGTCAATAACAATATTAGTGTTTCTTAAATAATATCAATTTGTAAAGTAAGATCACAATGGAATTACATTTCATTAAAGATGCTTAAATCATAATAATAACAAAGATATAGTAGCAAACAGAATATCAGCTAAAATTAAGAAAATTCCACAAAATTCAGGACCATTCACACTTAGATGGCCAAGGTAAGGATAATGTCTGAACTAACTTCTTTTGGATGCACAAACTAGGCTTCTTAATATTTAGTAGTCGAACTCTTAAGGCAAATTTGAGATTTATAGGTATGCGGTAAATGACCCTGAAAGCATGGTTAACGTCAATCTTGTGTTCTGTGTCCACAAGATGAGATAGAATAGCGCTGCCAATAGATTTTACTTTTCGTTTGCTTAACCACACAGGGTGATATTCGGAAATTCTACGAGAAACACGCCTAATTGTACGGCCTATGTAACTGGCTCCACAGGAGCAGTTAAATTGACAGCTACACATGGAAGAGGCGAAATTAGACAGTTTGTCTTTTACTCCCAAATACAAAAGAGGAATGATTTTGAAGACACAGAGTAATTCGGCGGCAGGGAATGCTCTTTTTACCCCATTTCTAGGGCGCTGCGTTAGTATCTCGCTGATGTTATCCCCAAGGAACTGCATTTGTAAGAATAAGGCCTTTTTTGGACCTGTTGGTAACTTGGGTTGCTTTGATTTTAGATTCATATTCTTATTAATAAACGTTTCTGGATAACCATTTTCACTTAGCAACCATTTAATATTATTAAGTTCCTCATCAAGACATTCATCCGAGCAAATTGCTCTTGCTCCGTGAACCAAGCACTTTATGTGATTGCGTTTGTATTTCAAGGGCACGAAGCTGAGAAAATGAGTATACAGATCCGTTGATGTAGGTTTTCTATGTACACTTCTTCTTATTGTGCCATTCTCTTTTCTGGTCATAAGGACGTCTAGAAATGAAATAAAAGACTAGAGTAATATTTATTGTAGGATGGGCATTGTTAAATTTACCCAGGATGTTCTTTGCTTCCTTCTCATTTCAGTGAAATATTTTTTCTCCTATTTCGCATGCAACTAATCCGTCGGAATCCTTCTTTCCGAGTGTAATTTAAAAACGAATGTTGACTACCCTAAGAATTCGAGTTAGTCAGTTTAAAATGTACATAATGTATAGAGAGTAACTAGTCTCGCTTTCGCTTCTCTTTTTTTCCACTTCAAGGTTGGTTATTCACTGGATCAAAATGGATATGTTGAAGTTGTCTCCATTAATCAATCACAACCAACTAATAATCAGTTTCAGTCTAAGCTAACAGACAGTTCACTGGTGATAAAACTTGCCTCTATACTTATCTCAGGTACAAATCTTGTCGACTGGTGGAGTTATTCCAAGTCATCTTCATCGCTGGCATCAACAAGAACAACGCCAACCTCCGCTTCATCATTGCCACCGATGTCACAATTTGATACAGAACTGTTGTTTATCCAGTTATTTATTTCGCCTAAAAAAGATTTTCAGACTACACTTAAACAATTGACTATGCTAGGCATTAAATTACCAATGTATGATACAATGACTGGTATTAATTTAACTCTTATGAATTCAAATGATAAGTATAAAGAAGTATGGATAACTCGGCATAATTTACAATGGAGGATAAGATATATGAGCTCACCAGTGTCATCTTCATTGGCCTGGTCTTTCCTGATCAATTCAACTATTGATAATGCAAGAGAACGTGGTGAAACTTCAGCCTGGTTAAATGAAGCTAAATTACTTCAACAATTACTGTCAACATCGACTTCACCATCATCATCATCATCAACAGGATCGAAAATGGAGAATTTTATGAATTTAAATGCAATTGTTAATCACAGATTAACATCAAAGTATATACTAGGATTCAATTATCCATGGAATAGGGAGGAAGTAAATGAACTGGCACAGAGTCATTCTGTTACAAATTACCAATGGATTCCATCGGTAGATATTTTACAGTATCCTGTTCCCCCATCTGCATCGTCAACATTATCATCACTGTCTTCGGATACTTCTGCATTTTGTAGACTTTATGATCATGCAAGTATGTATCAGATAAGACCAAAAGAATTGAATAAACATGAGGAGAAGACATGAAGAAATACAAAAGTAGATTTGGTGTAGTTTATAATCGAGATTTACTAAGGTTGGTCTGTTAATTGCATTGTTATTATTCATTTGTTTGTGTCACTGAACTTCATAAGTGGTTATTACTAAGGCGAATAATAATAATAATATTGAAGAATTCAATTATCAAAAGAATGAATACCGAACAAAGAATACTCTTTTCGATAACTTCATCATCAGGCTCTACAGTTATATATACATTATAGTGAATGAATTAGTGTTATGAACAACATAAATGTTTCAATAACATCGAATCAATAATAATGATAGATTACAGCTGAATAGCATCAACATAAAATAAGCTGAATGTCAGAAAAATTAGGAAGGATAATGTTACAAATCCATGGATTTGTAGTTTCTACTGAAGGCCGGCCAGGGCAGTAGTAGGGGCTGGACTTGCTTCTTTTGAACACAAAGCACTGGTTGTTTGAGGCGAATCGCAATAGCCTCTGCTGTTTGGAGGATGCGGTGCTTCGATGATTTTGGCACTTTATTTGGTACCCGGTAGACTATAGAGAAGGATTCTTCCATGCTGGCTGGCTTTGTGGCCGGTTTGGACCAGAAGGTCCAATATCGAACTGTTAATGGTTTTCACTACACCTTTACTCAATGACGCAGATGCATCCACTCCTTGTGACATATGATTTCCAATGGAACTATATTGTTCTTCGTTATTACTATTCCTTTGTCTCACACCTCTGTTTACTGTCTCTATTATGTATTTCTTCTACTTTCTTCTCTTGTTTTGTGTGTTACATGAAGGGAGTGTGGCGACTTGAACTGCCGCACATCGGTGCAGAGTTCTGTGTCGAAAACAGACAGACAGACTTAGCTATACTGGGAAATGTTCTCGAGCAGGAAAAATTAAGTTCCTTGAGCAACTGCCAATATAACTTGCTCCACAAGCGCAGTTGAATTGGTAGATACAATTTGAAGTGGCTAGTCTAGGTACTTCATCTTTCAGTCGAGGTAGCACCATAGGTCGTGTAGAGAATAATACGTGTAGTTCGCCAGCATTAAAAGTTCTTTGAACTGATTTTCTTAATTTCCTCATAATTATCTCACTTGGTATATCACCCTTGAATTGTAGTCGTATATAACGTGGCTTCTCGTTTACAGATAGTGAAGTCCTTTTTCTGCTTTCTTTGTCATATGTTTCTTGATAAATCTATCGGGATAGCCATTTTCGATCAAAGTATCATATACAATGCCTAATTAATCTTCAATTACTTCTTCTGAGCATATAGCTCTGTTCACTTTATAGACTTCTTTGTAACTAACTACTAATAAGACTTAAAAGCTGCTAAGATGAAATGCTCAGAGCTTTGTCAATGGAAATTAGAGTCCGAAGGTATATGAAAATACTTCAAATAGGTTGGTGTATTTTTTAGTCTATCATTATCTTCATTGCCTAGTTCTACGGTAACGATAAACCATGGCCTGATATCCTTTAGTAGTTATGGTACTGTTCCTTGCTTACATTCACAGCCTTTCATTGTACTGCCTAACTAACTGTGATTGACATTTCCCAACTTCACTCAACAAGTTGCTAACCGTCTCCCCCGTCCAGACAATCAAGTTGTTACGTTCCACTTTGTGTATGCTGCACACAGCAGCAACTATTCTTCAGTATTTATGCCTACGGGCGTGTGTGCGTGTGTGTACATACATCTTGTTTTCAGTGCCCCTCAGTTAAGTGTTTTATGATAAAAAAAATATTCATCAAATATATAAAACAAAGGACATATGTTTTAATAATAATAACAATAATAACAAAGTAGATTTTATCGCGAAATAACCAGTTAGTGTCTGTACGTTAACCGGAAATAATAATAATAATAATATAATAATAATATGAACATGCGGACAAATGTCAAGTCGAATAACATGCTGTGTACAGAAGAACAATTGGTTTGTCATTCTATTTTAACAAATCTATGTATGTATGTTCATAATAACGCGAATCAGAGAATAAATTCGTAAAGTATCATTTCATATCCAGTGTTGTTTGTTATTATTTCTCTTGTCTTTATTGTGTAGGGTTGAATTAGTTTTATGTAATCTTCAAAGAAAAAATTAGATTTTATCTTGTTGTTTTGTTTATATATTCCGACGACCGCATTCGTGTAGGTCTTATTGATTTCGGTGCGTATAATGATGAGAATAATAATTAGTAACAACTATGTTCTTAATAATATAATTACAAATGAGAGATTGTTGCCTTCATATATCCTCTATAGGTACATTATTTATATTCTACACTTGTGCGTCGGTGGCACAATGGTTAGTACTCTCGCCGAACATGCACATGGTCCGAGGTTCGATCCCCTGCTGACTCACACCTGACATCTATGGTCGGCCTGAAAAATTTGGGCTACCGATATCACACGCTGAAAATTCCATACCTCTACCGAAAATACGGTGTGGCATCAAGCTGTAATCAAAAAAATAATAAATGTAAAAATAATTGTGAACAATGAATGAAATTCAGATTATGTCTTTTATGTGGATTTGGATTAATTCCAGTGTAGATGTCATCACTAACCAACATTTGTTAGATAGCCATTGAAAACCAAGGGGGGGCACTGGACAGTTCTTTCGTTCTAGTTTAACACCCATCATCAGTGCTCACCCCCGACCCCCACCACCAGGGATTAGACTAGAGATATCGCCACGTTACGAGGCTAACTCGTTGATTATTCGGCCACTGGGTCGGAATTTAATAATCAGTGACTGACTGAGTTTCAACACACAGAACCTTACACAGAAGTGCAGCAGTTCAAGTTCTCAAAATTCCATGTAGCACACAGAAGTAGAGAGAAACCCAACCTTATATCAGTTAACATTACTTGCTGAATAACTGACTGTTCAATTCTAATTTCTGTCAATTCTCGAAATACAGTTACGGTTAGACGATACCATCTCGATGACTGAGTATCCACTTCACATTGACATTGTGGTGGTGGACACCATTAGCGCTACGACTGCTTATAAGAACTTCAGAACATGCATTCTGTGTAGCCCCACTAATGAGCTGGAGATTGATGCTTACATTTATAGATTTTAATTATAACTAATTTTAATGAGTTTTAATCATCACATAATGTCTGTCGTTGGTGGTGGGTCGTTTTCGCTGCATGTGTGTATACTGGAAATGTTCTGATGTAGTTGGGTTCTCTGAGCTGGATGGTTTATTGGCGAAGCTTTCATTGCCCCACTAGGCAACATCTTCAGCGCATACTTCAGCTTGAAGTATACTTCAAAATCGTCCACCTGAGCTACAAATCTCCGTCATACTGGAAATATTTATTCACCGATTTCAATTCTTAGAGAGAAGCAAGGATCCACTGGTCTTCTGTTTCCATTTGATTCTTGGGACTCTTCAGAAACATCTGCTCGACAAGAACTACTGCTTAACAGCACATAGCGAAAATCCCCATTCAGATATTTAGAAGGCAAAAGAAAGTTCGAGCAAAGAATATTCTTTTCGATAAATTCCTCTCCCGACTCTTTAATTGTATTTGTCGAGAAGAATATTCTTTAGGATACAATTGGTGGATGGTGACTAGCAGTGGAATCCAGTGGAACCATCCACCAATTGTATCCTAACTAAATGCCCAGACATCGTCGAAGCATCTGCACAAGAAGCCGACATGTCAACCTGAGACCGAGCACTTCGGTCCAATCAATCGACGGGAAAATCAAAAAATCCAATTCAATAATTAATATGACCCGTTGCACAAGAGGTGGCTCTCGTGGCCCAAGTGGTCTAGTGGATAACGCTTTGGCGTTCGAAACTATGGGTACTGGGTTCGAGCCTCGGTGGTGGGAACATCATCACTCACTGAGAAATGCAGGTACATCCAGATGACGAGTCCCAAATGGGACGAAATGCGCATCCTGGATTCCACTGCTAGCCACCATCCACCAATTGTATACTATCTAAATGCCCGGACATCGTCGAAGAATCTGCACAAGAAGCCGACATGTCAACCTGAGACCGAGCACTTCGGTCCAATCAATCGACGGGAAAATCAAAAAAAATCCAATTCAAGAATATTCTTTGCCTAAACTTTCTTTTAAGATCATATAATGAAATTCGAAAGTAGCTGTAAATCTTCGGATTAATAACTCCATACTGCAGTACTCCTCCTGGAGATGTGGTCTGTCTGTCTGGATTCAACATAGAACTTGGCACCGAAGTGCAGCAGTTCGAGTTGCCACGTTCCAAATAGCACACAGAGGTAGACAAGAAGATGAGTGGAGAGAATTAATAGAGTTTGACAAATATAGGAGTGAAACAGAATGGGTAATGGTAGAAAGGAATATGAAAGATTACAGAGATTGAATACATCTGCGCCATTGACAACGATTTTGAGCCATGTCACCTATTGTCTCCAGCCATTGATTCCTAGAGTCCCGAGGGCCCCAACCCGGGAGTCTGCATCTCCCTACCTGACTCAGTTTAACTGTCAAGGATTTCATGGATTGATGCCATGTTTTTGTTTGGCCACCACTGGCTCTTTTCCAACCTGAACCTATATCAGCTAACAATGCCCGTCGGGGGAGGCGGTGGTTAGGCATGCGCACCACGTGACCTAGCCATCTTAGTCTATGTAACTTTATAACCTCGTCGATTGATTTTCCCTCTTTGCCCAACACTCTACGCCTAACGTCAACATTACTTATCTTGTGAAACCACCTAACGTGAGACAGAGATCGCAGACATCTATGATCGAAAGCAGTCAACCTTTTCATGTCTTCAACGCGTATTGGCCATGTTTCAGAGCCATAGAGAAGGACGGAGCGAACTGATGAGCAGTACACACGTCCCTTGGTTGATAACCGGATGTCACGCCTACGCCAGAGATGGTGTAAGTCAGCGAAAGCAGCTCGAGCTTTTCGGATCCGTGCTGAGATTTCATCGCCAATCAGTCCGTTGGTGCTAATACAACTTCCCAAGTAGGTGAAGTGGTCAACATGTTCTATCACTTCACTCCCTATCACTAAGTTAGGGGTTGACGTCGTCCAGTCCTGTAGCAGCATCTTACATTTTGCAGGGGCGAATCGCATGCCAAACATACGAAGATTGCTGCTCAAGGTGTTCAGAAGACTCTGCATTTTGTCAGCATCCTCTCCTAACAGGACTATGTCATCTGCATATTCTAAGTCCATTAGATTATTCCCTGGTAACAAGTCGATTCCTAAGTCACTACGTTCAGTTAAGGATACTTCCATTAGCATATCTATGATGAAGTTAAACAGAAATGGGGAAAGTGGACATCCCTGTCGGACACCACTGGTTGTTACTAATTCAGATGACAATTCCCCATAAGCCCTTACACGACTACGTGAGTTTGAATAGAGTGCCTTGATTAGTGCAATGTACTTTCTTGGCACTCCCTTCACAGTCAGACATTGCCATAGTACTTTTCGGTCCACGGAGTCGAAGGCCGCCTTCAAGTCAAGAAATATGACAATTGTTGGACGCCGAAAAGTGTGTCTATGTTCTAGAATCTGTCGAAGAGTGAAGATATGATCTATGCACCCTCTACCTGGTCTAAAGCCTGCTTGATTTTCCCTTGTCTGTTCCTCCCGAGTTCTGCTTAGTCTATGCATGATTACTGAGCCTAG